GGGCCCTAAAATTTTAGTTGTTAAGTTATTGGTCTGCAACCATAATATGCCTAGCGGCAGAGTGTTATTATTGGTAACGTGATTAAGTAATTTTCGATAAATACTGCATTTTGTTGTATATTTAAAGAATTTTAACTAAAACAATTTTTAAAGTAAAAACTTTGTATGCCGAAATGAAACTGTAACCTCCACACTTTTGATGCTAGTATATTTTCATAAACTAACTTTTTTAATGCTTTTGTTATGATCACAACATACAATAAACAATTATTTAATTTGTTTTTTTTTTTTTGTTATTCAGGTATACAGTTGAGGAGTAACATGCAACAATGACTCAAAGTACAAACGCAAACTTGAATACAAACCATATGCAAATTATTCAGAAGAAACACTGAAAAAAGTGTTGGTATATGTTGTACAAGCCAATAATTTTAAATTTTTTTTAAGGTTTTAGCAACTGCTAATTTGTCTTTATTATAGACACTTTTTAGAAAAAAATATCGGAGGCTTAAAGCTCTCGCAAATATTTTTTTCCCAATGTAGATGATCTGTTTACATCACCTTCAAGATAAAAAAGTAAAACTACTAAAAAACTAAAACTATTAGCAGAAGAAAACATACATTCGATGTTAGTCAGTCGTACCTACGAATTTCTTTAAAAAAATAAAGAGTCAAAATACTTTTTTGAGAATTTATATTTGTTTTACCTACATTTTTTTGAAACCGTGATATATTTTTGAAGAATTTATTGTTTTTTCCTACATTCAACATTACCTATGTTGAATTGTTAGTACACATTAATAAAAAAACATACTTTTTGCTACAAACTGCTGTCTTATTTTATACAGTATGTCCCCGGATTGAGTTTACAAGAGGAAAAAAAAATTATCTTTGATTTTACCCCAAAACTGCAAAGGGAAAAAATTCTTTGCTTTATCTGAAACGAGGAAATCTGTAATTAAAACTTCATTATTCTAACTCTGTAGAAAGAAAAGTTCATTTTTCTCTTGGTTTTTTCTGTTTTTGAGTCCTATCACATTGCGGTTTTATTATTTTGACAATGATGTCACTTTGTCAAATGAGGTTACGCAAGTTAAATAACAAAAATGTTCGTGAAAAACATAATTTTAATAAATAGGAACTCAAAGAAACAGCTTTAAGATAAAAATCAGTCATTTTTAACAAGAACTATCATTATTTAATTAATAAATTAATTGTCAAAGTGACATATAGTTGTCAAATAAATACAACCGCCAATGTGATAGGACTTAAAAAAACAGAGAAAAATTATTCTAAGTCGAAAATCAAGAGAAAAATTAACTTTTATTCTTCGACACTGTCAAAATTTACGGTTTTTCTCCCGTGTATGGAAGTTTTGACAACTGTTTGGCATTTCTCAATACGAAACGTCAGATTATTTTTAACAGATTTAAAGCAAGTTTAAGCCTTATTGAGTCTAATTCGAAAAATAAAATGTTGTATTTAACTCGTTTGAATGTAAATCGGACGCTTTATTCCACCTCGTGGATGATAAACCACTCGTTACATGGTTTAATAACCCACTCGGTGAAATAATCTGTCCAATTTACACTCAAACTCGTCGAATAAATAACTATTCTTTTCACTGAATCAGAGTAATGAAGTTATAAGTACAGATTTGCTTGTTTCAGGTGAAGCAAAAAATGTTTTTCCTTTGCAATAGTGGTGTAAAATCAAAAATAAAATAAATTTTTCCTCTTGTAAACTCAATCCGAGGACATACTGTATATTATGTATTTACTACACCAATTTTTTTTTATCGTGTTGAATAAAATAAATGTAAAATGAATGTATTTTCAAGTTACTCCAAACTTCAGATAACTTGCGACAGCCATATTTTTTTCAAAAACAAAAAAACTACTTATTAGAACAAGTTTCTTTTACCGAGAAACAAAAGGCTAGATCAAGACAGAATTTCTGGATAAAAAGTTTTATTTTATATAACATTATTTTTTCAAAAATCACATTAAAATGTCAAAACGTTCCAGAATTTTGGAGAAATCGGTTTTTGAGGCGTGGAATTTTTTCTATTGTCCTGAGTAGTAAGTAATAACTAATAAGAGATTAGAAACTAAATAAGTTGATTAAATCTGTCATTTATTAAGATATTATAAACGTTCTACCACATCTACTGACAGTCAGCTGCTGTTATAAGTTTGAAAAAAGAAAAAAAAAAAAAGAGACGTTTGCTCGTAGCATTAGGTATAACAAAAATTCAAGAGTAACAATGTTTTACGTTAGAGTACGGAGCAACTAAAAATAAAAATATCACCGATGTGTAGTCCGGTCAAAATAAACATTTTAAATAACTAAAATTCCGACAGAGCTAAATTTTGGTGGAGATATTGAGTACACCATTAGGAATAAAGTGTCAAAAGTCCCCATCGATCCCATGTGTGCTAAAAAAGTTATTCGGGGTCAAAGGTCAAAATTTGACGTTTTTAGATTTTTTTCGAAAACGGTAAGTTTTATCAAAAAAGTAGCCTAGACAAAAAATATAGATCTTGAAATTATCTACAAAATGGTCCTTATACTTTTTTTCTAACAATCACCATTCCTGAGATATCGCGATTCTAAAAGTTGAAGGAGTCACGTTCTACATGGTATGCACATACAGAGTGCGTCAGAACTCCCGCTTCAAAGACAAATGCCATGTAGGGTAAAGTACCACAAACATAGAAAAAATAAAAAAAAAATCTATCTATAAAAGTTTCAAAGTTATGAGAGTTTAAATTTTGCACTTTGACTCTATTTATTTCTGTAGGGAAAATAATTTTCCAAGTTTTTTTGCTACAGGCCATTAGAAGAAGAAACAAAAAAGCTGTGTCCTAAATTGTAACTCTGTTCAATGTTATTTGTGGCTTTTATTGGCAAAACTTTTGTACCTTTACTAGATAATTGTAAAAAAACATATACAAAATCATCAGTATTATTAAATAGACATAAAAAATAGTCAAATGTCAAAAAACAAATGTCAAATTTTTTTGACAGATAAAATTTTTTAAACATTTTTTTTTATGTTCCTGGTATCTTATTTTACTTGAAATTTTTCTTCTACTTCATTAAACTTATAAATATCTCGATTCCATTAGAATTAAAAAGAATTTATTTGGTAATACATACAGGGTTGTTCAAAAAATCGCGCATTTCCTTGAAAGGGAGTACTTGGGTAGTCCCCAGAGTACTGAAAAAATGTTTAAAAAATTCTATCTATCAAAAAATTTTGACATTTATTTTTTGACATTTGTCATTTTTTTATGTCTATTTAATAATACTGATGACCTTGTATATGTTTTTTTATAATTATTTGATAAAGGTACAAAAATTTTGTCAATAAAAGCTACAAATAATATTAAACAGAGTTACAACTTAGGATACAGCTTCTTTGTTTCCTTTTCTAATAACCTGTAGCAAAAAAACGTGGAAAATTATTTATCCTACAGAAATAAATAAGAGTCAAAGTGCAAAATTTAAACTCTCATAACTTCGAAATTTTTATAGATAGAATTTTTTTAATTTTTTTTTATGTTCCTGGTACCTTACCCTACATGGCATTTGTCTTTGTGGCGCGAGTTCTGGCGCACTCTGTATGTGCATATGATGTAGAACGTTACTCCTTCAACTTTTAAAATCGCGATATCTCAGGAATGGTGATTCTTGGAAAAAAAGTATAAAGACCATTTTGTAGATAATTTTAAGATCTATAATTTTCGTCTGAGCTACTTTTTTGATAAAACTTGCCGTTTTCGAAGAAAATCTAAAAAACGTCAAATATTGACCTTTGACCCCGAATAACTTTTTTAGCACACATGGGATCGATGGGGACTTTTGACACTTTATTTCTAATGGTATACCCAAGGTCTCCACCAAAATTTAGCTCTGTCGGAATTTTCGTTATTTGACCACTATTTTTATGACTAATTTGACCGGACTAGTGGGGATCTTTTAGGAAATGTAAATAAGTCGAAAAAAAGTCCCGCAATCTGTACAACACCAAGGGAATTTCCCCGCGCTGCCTTAACCTGCTAATACGTATTTTTAAAACCCATCTTCTCCCCTTGTTGTTACATAACTAGCGCCCTATCCCAAAAACCCTCTCTTCTAAAGCTCGACCGCATCCTGCCCCCTCCATCTCGACCCGCCACGTGCATTTTCACGAGGTATTGACAATTCCTTCGGACGAACGGCACTGCCTTCTCCCGCAATCAGCTGATTGTCAATCGATTTATCGGCGCGTAAAAATTACAAAATCTTACCACCTTGCTTACGAACGGGCATTGTGATCCCTGTTTAGATCTCTCCGATCGCACCACTAACACACAACCCAAATCGCGGGTTTTTTTACGTCCCTGATCAAAATCCCGATTTCACGCAAAAACGCGACGTCCCAGATACGATAACGCTAATTTCAACAACATGGAACAACACTGGTCAATATGGCGTGAGAGACGAGGATTGGTCGATCCGACAACGCGACGTCATGGGGTGGTTGCGACTTCTCAAAATAGATACCACACTTTTGCCCCCATCGGTCTATCTTGGACGCACACTCGAAAACTGCGTCGGGACGCCGGCTCGATAACGGCATCTATGGGAGAGACGAGGAGCGTCGGTGGAGGCAATATAAAGGGATTTTCTCGGTTTGTTGACGCCAGGTATTTACCGGATATTAATTTATACCACTTTTGGTGTCGTGAAAAAATTATTTGTTTAATGGCGAGGGATAAGAAATTGAAAAAGTAATTTATTTTAGCTCAATGCAAATATTTTTTTCGAAGTATTATTACCCCTTTCGATTGAAAAAGGTCATAGCTTTTATAGTAACAGATTAAACGTTAAAATGGAAGAATTTTGAAGGAAATATGTCGCCACAAATACTACTAACTACACCAATTAAAGTAGAAAAAAAAACAAGAAAGAAAAGAAAATGGGCTATATAAATGAAACAAAACAACTTTTAATAAACTTATTGTTTATTCAAAATAATATTTGGATAGTTGCAACAATGATCCATACCTAAAGTCCACCACCTAAAATGGTGCTTAAATATCACATTCTATCAATCAACGACTTTAAAATTAGACAACTGTCTAGATAAAAACACAAACGGTAATTACACATTTAAGAAACACAATCAGCCTTAAAATAATCGAATGATATGTATAAAAAATAATGAGATTAATTATTACATAAAAACTTAAAATAATATTTTAGGTATATTAGGTACATAATACTTAGATAAGGTCATCACCAAGTTTAACAAACGTGTGATCTAGTAACTCTTGGGCCGAAGCCCTGTCTTTGGGATTATGTTGGAAACACAATTCCAAAAAATCTAACCCTTCGTCAGTCATATGATCGGGAGGATCAGGACTTTGTCCCATTCCCACTTTGAACATAATCTGGTAATTAGAATCAAACTGTGCCCAAGGCCGCTGCAAAATAATTATCTTAATGGCTTTTCAAGTTGATAAATGAGACTATGTACCTTCCCAGACGCCATTTCCACCACCACACAACCCACCGACCATATATCCGCGGCTCGGCCGTGACCTTCGCTCATGTTGCGTGTAAACACTTCAGGTGCCATGTACGCTAAAATTCTTCTTTTTTCTCCGAAAAAATCAATGACCAATCAAAACTCACCTTGCGTCCCCACGAACCCCTGTAATTCCCCCGGCATCGTACTATGCGACTTGATTTTAGCTGCACATCCGAAGTCTCCAATTTTCAAGCAGTTGCCATTTTCAGTCAAGAAAATATTCGCCGTTTTTATGTCTCTATGTACGATTCCGTGGTCGTGCAAAACGGCCACTCCAGAAACTAGTTGAAAAGTGTACCGTCGAACTAGAAGTTCGGGTAGTCCGTTCTCGCTAGCTGCCACTAAAGTTTCCAGAGTTCCTTCGGCGCAGAATTCCATGAATATCAGCATTTCGTCCTGTTTATTTGCTCGTGAAATCCGCACAAACATCAAGATGCACTTACCTTATGAATCTCAACTCCGTAATATCTGACTAAATTACGATGAACAATGCCTTCTAAAATTTTCATTTCTTCGCCCACTCGCTTGATGGTGTGAGTATCGTTATGTTGAAGAGGTAGTTCTTTGACTGCCATCATTTCGCCGGTTTTATTATTAACAGCGGTGTAAACCTTGCCGAAACGGCCTTGCCCGATTTTGATGCCTCTCTGCCAGGTGAAGGTCACTTCGCGCAATCTTCGACGGATGTGGACTTTTTCGATACCGCTACTACAGGTCACCACTTTGCCGATTAATTGCTGCTTTCTTAATTTAGCGTCAAGGTAATTTTCGAGAGTTTCGATTGACTCTAATCGGAGTTGCTTCCAAGTTAATCGCTCGTTTGCTTCGTCCTTTCTACAGCTTATTTAATAAACAATAAACGAATTAAAACGGCGAAAATAAAAAGCTACACACAATTAACTAGTCTACTTTTTCAAAAATTACCTGTGCGTATTAAAACTAACAGCATCCAAATGATCTATAACTGGCGATCCTTGTTCCATGCTAGTTTTGCGACTATTCGATCTTTGGCTCTTATACGAGGGCCTCGGACTTGGAGAAGACCCCCTCGATCTGGCCCTTATATGTTCAATCGAAGTCCTCGGCGACGCTGAATAAAACCCAGATTCCGGCGTCGATGGAGCCGTAGTCCCTATCACATGACTTATACAAACATCCATATTCTTCTTCAGATCTTCAAACTCTTCTTCCGTCAAATGTTTGGTGTTTCGAGGTTCACACACAGTTAACAGAAACTCCAACCCTTGATAAGCCCATCGTGGTCTCATACCTCGCCCTCTCTCGCATCGCTCAGTAACGAATTTCATCCACAAATTCGCAAATTGTACCATACTTCTCGCAAGTTTCTCGCGCTTTTCGCTGGGGATGCTATCGGACATTTCTTTATAAAACTACAAAATTGAGGGTTAATTGGGAATGCAGTTGATGATTTTTGGTATAATACGTCGAAGCCAAAACGATACCCTTGCATTAAGATTTCCCTTGTGCGAGAGACCAGAGCCGTTCGCTCGATTTCTTCAAATGAGTCTAGTTTGATTTGGTCGAATTCGGTTTGGACGCGGCCTATGGCGTCGGGGATTGAACATTTTAGCGAAATTATAGCGCCCTAAAAATATTGATTATTGGTTTAATTATGAGAGAGAATAAGAAAACGTACTGCCAATTCTGATCTGCAATCAGCCGGAAGGTCATGGCGAAAGACTGTCTTGCAAAAGGCGATGGTTTTGATGCTCATTTCGCGCTCTTCGTTAAAAATAGACTGCATTTCGCGACAAACGACGAATACAGTTTGTCTAAAACAACATCAACGAATTAAAACAATTGATTTTTTTGCGTCAAAAATTAAAATTAAAACCCTAAATTGAATTTTGACATCATAATAATTTCAGTTTCTTATATTTCTTGCCAAAATTCGTTTGTTAATGGGCGATTAAAATTCGATTAATAAACCCTCTCAAACAACTATTACGCATTTATTACAGAATTTTGAATTATTAAAGTATATTTTTACAAGGTTATTTCTGTAAAAAAAAACGCCCGGCATAATGTTTATCTTTTTGTGATAATAAAGGACTCATTTCATATTTAAGTTCCCAAACACATGACTGTTGCATTTGACTGATATACAACTGAAATAATGATAAACGGAGACCTTCAACTGCACATTTTTTTATTTCATTCTGTTCAAGCCAGAAATATTTATAACAGAGCTTTAGCTTTATCAAGTTATCATTTTTCGCCTACGAATTGATGAAGATTTCAACTTCGAAAATAGCTATTTTCGTATTTGTTGTGTGATACAATGTTAACATAAATATCACACAATAGAATTGGCGGAAACTATTATAATTTCCCACTGAATAAAATTATTTTTTTTTGGTTACAATTTTAACATTCACGTCACTTACTTAATCATATTTTTATCGTCTTTGGGCATGTTGCAAAGCACATCCTCGATTCGATCATGTAGTCTTTCAGAGACCGATTTTAAAATCGAACACAAAATAAACACAAACTTTTTCCCCAAAAGTTCTGACCCACCCGGAATATGTTTAATCACATTACACGAAAAATGCCACTCTTCTTCCAACAAGTTCTTCTGAAAAGTCTCATGATGTAACAAAGCCCACTGTTCTAAATAGTCCAAATAGTCACTAAAAACCCTCAACATACACTCGTTATAATCCTTCATCTTCTCTTCAAACACATCATTCGGTTTTTTACTCTCAGAAATGGCACCATCGATGTATTTCAAAATTTTCTCTTTTTGCTGAGTCGCGATTTTCAGGCCCTCTTTCAGCTCTCTCATCAGTTGGCGGACACTCAAAGGAGATGGTTTTTCAGGTTTTTGTTCCAAACGCATCTTCAAAAACTCGTGGATCATTTTGAGAGGAATGGCGGCGAGAAAAAGAAAAATTGCCCGATACGATGGTAAATTCAAAGCCTTTGCTTCAGGACTCAAGCATCCAAAACGTTGCAACTCTTCATCTTCAGTTTCACAAGTTACTTTAGTGTAAATATCGTCTGTTTCCGGTTTTGTCAAAGTCAGTTGGACTCGGCGCAAAACGACCATTTGGAGGTGATCTAAGAAACTCAAACTTTTGTGAAGAGATCGTGTTTTGAGGATATTTTCGATGTATTTTCGATAAGGCGAGACTGTGCTCTCAGACTTATGCACAGACAAAAATGGAAAAGGAGCAAAAGAGAAAACAGTAGCATCTTGACTCGACTTGCAATCATAAAACGACTCGTTTACTGAAGATGAAGAACTGTTATTGCTATCACTGGGACTGTTTGATTCCGTCCCGTTTTTATCATCATCTCTGTTGACTTTATTTTCTAATAATTTAACTAGAATCATTAGCTTCAGTCTCTGCTGCCTAGTCATGTTGTACCATAAACTAATGGCTTTGACCCTAGTTATAAACTCAGGACTGTTGTATAATGGATATAACTCAGCAAAAGCGTGCCCTGAAGGAAACAGAGCTTCCGCCGCTGATAATCGTTGCATCAGTTCCTCAACATCTTTAAGAGCCTCATTTTGTGCCTCAAGACACGAACTACAGTAGATTGAAAGGCAACCAGTACAGTCGTCTTCAACTCCACTGTCGCTGTTTTGAGTCGAATAACATTTGGAATTTTTTTGGTAACGATAAGTCATTATATCTCTCAAGAGAGGCTCGACTTTTTCCCTCTCAGCACACAAGTATCTGTCTTCTTCACTTGGTGTTCGGTCAGCGTGGAAAGCTTGCAATTCAAGCCAAATTAAATCTTTTATTTCGTTTTGCCACATATGCTCCTCCCTACTCAACTATAAAAAATATGTATCAAACACTTGAAAAAATTGTAAAATAAAAATTACTTACAGCACGTCTATGACTCATTTCCTGGGTTTTATCACCACAGCCCATTCGAATTAACATTGAGAAAGTGTTGTAAAAATCGACTCGATTTTCAGAACACTCCTCATTGCTTATCTCGTCACATTTCACTTTATTGTCTTTTTTACTTTTCAATAATTTAGAGCAAGGGACTGTCCGACATGACAAACTCATGAACCTTTTACAACTCTCGATTTGGTAGCTAGGTTGAGGCGTTTTGGGGTGTTTGAATTCTTGGTTTTTCTCGGAGGCGGCTTGAGCACTCGCAATGTCCAGTTTCAGGTCGCGTTCAGATCCACGTAGCATTTTTAACTGGCGTTTGTTGGCCCTTTTGGAACCTTGATCAGAGTCATTTTCGGCCTTAGCAACAAGCTCCTCAAACATGCTGCTGATTGTGTTCCGCCGACTTAAGGGCTTCGGCTTAATTACTTTAGGAGAAGACATGGTGCTGGAATTTGATAATGAGAAAGTGTAACAGATTATATGCGTTTTTTACCTTGTATCTTTGTGTTTCTGTCTGCGTTCACGATTTTTACGCAAAATTTTTGTGCGTGGTGGGGTTTTGCTGTACAGATCGTAGTCACTAAAATCACAGTCTTGCTCGATGGGGCTGTAGGCCATAACTTCTTATACACAGTGAAGTTGCGTAATATAACACCCCTTACCGTAACTTACTAAAGTATACACTGGTAGGGATCACTCATCATAATTAATCTCTTACGGTAAACAAATTAACTCGATAACACTAATGACAAATACTCACACATTTTTATCAAAGTTTACATAACCTATCAAAACCGATGGTTTCACTCTATTATTTTATAATATCGTAAATCAACACGAATTGATTTACCTTTCTGAACTTTTTCATTTCACATAATTACTGGTACGATTTTTACGAATGTGGAACGATGCACACAACTTGGCAGAATTAACCCATCTTTCGACAGACTTGCGAATACGCTAATGACATTGACAGCTTACCGCTGACGTGCACTTTCGACCAATAGAAAACCTTTCTACTCCCGCCATTAATAAACGGGAAAAACACCATTGGTTCGTTATATTATTTCAAAAATTGAATTTTATGATTTTAACTGAATTCATGCGTTTTTTCTCTTGACTAACAAAGCCTTGCAAGCACAAAACTTATCTCTGCACAACATAATATTATCATCTAAAAATTCTACTACTGATTTACTGATTACTTCGTTTGTACAATATTTTAAATGTCCACCGTCTTGCATCTGAGTTACTTATTTAAAATCATTTCAAGGTTTATGATTCTTTAATTTATCTTGGAATTAAATACAGTGTTTATTCAATGGGAAAATTTAAATGTCATGTGTTTTATTATGCTAGAAAACTCCCTTTTTGTTTCTATATTTGTATTAATAATAATAACAGAGTAGGTAATACTTTATTTATGTAAAATTTTTTTTTTTGCTTCTATATAATCTGTTCTAAAATTAGGTACCTAATGTATTTTTCAATATTTTTCACATACAAAATCGTGTTTTCAGTAATTTTTCAAAACTGCAAGTAGTGAATACGCCCGTCGTAAAATCTGCAATAATAAATTAACTTAAATTATAGTACAACGTGGACAAAAACTATACCGTGGTAAACGTTTGTAAAGATAAATCAAGGACTTTACCAGCTCTAACAGTCATAGGCTTTTTGGAACGTTCCATTAGAATTATCAAAGCTTTTCTTGAAGTTATATCGTATGTATACCACTGTCCCATATAAACCGCATTTGTTAATGTATTATTCTACAAAAAGAGTGTTAAAACATTTTGTTTACTGCTGTTCCTATTTATATTTTTACTTCTTCAAATAATAGTGTTCCATAATACGAGTACAGAAAAATTTCAGAAAGCATAGTTGCAAGGAAAATTACCATCGCAAAAAAAATTACTGAAAAAGGTTCAACCTGAAAATAGTGGTTAATTTTTGACACATTTTATTAAAACTATCCTTACTATAGACAAATAAAAGCAAGCAAGACAAATTACAAAAATACTTGCTACAAACTGGCTGAAAACCACGCCAGAATAGACATTTTCGTAATTTTCTACGAAACTGAAATTATTTATAATTTAGACTTGTAAAAACACAAATATAAAATATTTACGTCAATATTGCGTTATGGTGTATAATACAAATTCTGATTCTTTCTTGAATAATGCGAGCTTTTGTCAGTTGTTGAGAAAACATTTGGTCTGCATCTTCACTAAGAAACTGCAAATTATTTTTCAGTATTTTCAGTTGAGTAGTGGCATGACTGGCTAAACCTGCGATTAATGGGTCAATTACGCCATTGCTAAGAGCCCCAGCGGCTACACCTTTGTAGATAATTACTATTAAACAAAATATTTTTTTTTACTTTACAGTTACCTACCCAAAACAACGTAAAGATACGCAAAGCAGTATAATTTCGTATTCACTGTAAAATCCACCGGAACCCAGATTTCCAACGGTAACTTTCTCTTCTCTTGCACCATGGGTTTCAAAGCCCATGAGATTACACTAAAGATGCAAAAAACAAGAAATAGCCAACAGTTGCGTTTACAAGTTGTAATACACTCATCTACAAGTTTTTCTTGTCTTTTTGTATACGTCGTAAATGGTGGTTTTTCTAACATATCCAAAGTGTTGTAAATCGATTCAATGTTGCCAAGAAATGGTATCAACTTCACCAATAAGCATGCCATTTGACAGGTCAGAAAAGCATTGTCGGAAATTTTAACAATGTCTACATGTTTTTCGAAAAATAGGTTGACGGTGACCAGAATTGGTATAGGTGTAATCATGATGTAATACATGAAGTACATGTAGATTTTATAAGTTTTTGCAAATTGTCGACTGGGAAACATCCCCAGGATTTGTAATAGACGCAAATGCACTCCAAAAGATTTTTGAACTAGGTTTTTCATTTTCAAACTGGTAAAGTTTGAGTGATGCGAGTCACAACAATTGATGCTCTTATACTGCTTGATAATTATAAATAACTCAACACGTGACTTATTACTTATTTAAGCCACTCTGTAAAGTGCTAATTAATTTAATTTACTATTCCATCAAAATTACTGGTAGAGCAGACATAATGCTAGTATTTACGGGAATAACTCTAATTCTATAAAGCGGTGTAAATTTTAAATTAAGTAGGTAAGTACCTACTTGAGTATTATGTCATAATTGATAGTTACCAAGCTAATTATTATGACATTCTCACAAATATTGAATGGAATTAAAAAATACAATTTTAAAAGCTTTATAAAAATTCTAATGAAATTAAAGCTGATTAGTAGTAAGTATTAGCTATAGACAATTACATACAGGATCAGTCACAGGAGAGTTACTTTGAAGATTAATTAGTTTGCAACCAAAAATACCCTTAGCGTATGTAACTGGATATAATATTTTATTTAAATTAATTCAATGTGAGCTGGATGACAATGAGTGAAGTCGTCAAAATGACAAAGTAATTGTCTACTGCTTCAAGGACTCTAATTTGATTTTCTGGGCCAGTAGCAGTCCTCTGACGGGGTCTTTCATTGTGGACCAATCGTGTCGAAACTTGGCTTCCAGTTTTCAAAATGTGTCAGAAACCGGATGCATTCGATTTGGATATCTTTTCAAGTACAAAGCTGCTGCCGCAGGAGCATTTTTCTTGCATTCTCTATGGATTAAGAGCATGCCTACTTTTTCGTTATTTGTGTAATAATACATTGTATTAACGAAAATTGACTGTTACTTTTTAAATGTTAAATTGAAAAGATATGAACAAAAACACGATTAGCCCGTCACACCAAACTTTTATTTTAATAGCACTTAATAGCACTTAATAGGCTAATCGTGTTTTTGTTCATCGTTTCCATACCAAGAAGATCCAAGAAGAAGATGAAAAGATATGCAAAGTATTCTTGGATTCAATTTTATAATTTTAAAAATTGAGGAAGTTAGACACTTATGTGAATTGTATACCTGCCCATATTATTTCAGAAGTAACTCTCCTATGACTAACCCTGTATATGGCTTCTATGTAGAACTAAAACAGACACAATAAATTAAGCAAATAATTAAGTAAATAAATATCAAAAAAACCCAGCCAATCACGCGCAAACGTGCCAGACGCGCCTAAGTATCTTCACCAACCCCACAACCTCTGTGCAACCTCTTACGTTATTTTACTAACCCACACGTGTGTTAAAAGAATAATCGATTCGTACCATATCGTCAACTTTCGTAGGTAATTCGCTATGGAAACAGTTACTTTCGTATACGGTCATGAAAAAATATATTATTTTCCGTGCATGTAACATGCAGGATGATTTTAAAGTATGTGTACCTAAATATAATAAGAAAGTAGGCTTTCGCGGCCAGAGTCAGGTTGAAATTTGGGTCTTTTTGGGTTAGACCGCGTCAAGTTAGAAAAAAAGGTCTACGTTTCGCCCGCTCTTAGTTATGGTTTCGCCTCTGGTACCGTTCAGATATTGAGTTAACGTGCAATACCCTTGTTTTCTTTCCCAAATTGGTGATTTGTTTTCAACAGATATCTGTTCAAGATCTGCCGTTTCCGCTAACTAAATTCAAAATTACATAAAATAATATCGGAACGGCCAAAAACTTAGTCTTAAATCTAATCTTTGAGGAGCTATATCTTGTGAAAAAAGGCTCAAACAATTTTTTGTCATGGGAACTTTTAACTCAGATTAAAAATTTTACATCTTTTTGTTGTTGTTGTTCATTTGTTCAAATATTCTTACAACTAGTAACGAAAACTTTGGGATAAAGTACCTACTCAAAAGGTTAAAACTTCGTTAATATTGCATTTTTTGACAATTTTTCCGACGCCAAAGTGAATGTCTATATATCTCAGAAACTATAAACATTCGGATAAGATAAGATTTGCTATTTTGACTTCTTTTGAGCTCTACTATTACCTGTTACAAAAAATACCAAAAATCATAAAATTAATTAATTATTAATCAAAAATTATTAATCAAATTAATTATTTATTTCATTTTCATTTTAAACTAAGTGAATTCAATGAAAATATGTGTAATTAATATTTTAAAAGAAAATAAAAAAATATTAATTAATCAATAACAATTTTTTTCTAACTATGAAAAAAGTTGAACTTATTACTTATTACATTTAAATTAATACCCAAAGATTTTTTTTAAGAGCGCGAAATTGTCATCTGCGTATACAGGGTGATTCTTAAATATACCGATAAAAATTTTATCACAGCTTATCAAGGATAAATGGAGACAAACTGTACTGTAATATTTCGTGAAAAAGAGGCCTGGTACTAATTTTCCCAAACAGCTGGACCTCCGAAATTGTGGACGCCAAATTTTCCCCTTTCGCCCTACGTTGTGTTTGTTGTGTCTCGAAAATAACAAAAGGAAAATAATTAGAAAATTCTAATAGACCCAAAGTATAATAAGGCTGCGTTGTAAGAAAGTAAACACAGGTTTTAAACCACACTTAAATTTATTCAACATAAAAAATAATAATTAGAACTTGGTTCTGATTGTTTATCAATGCACTCTATCAAATTAAATAATTTCAAAAGAAAAATGAATTAATAAATTATCCAAAATTTCCTAAGTTCTGGGTTTTTAATAAATTGGAAATTAATGAAAAGAAATTTAATCATAACCAAATTGATTGGATTTGAAATTGCGACCCTTCACATTTTTAAGAATGTTGACTTTCTCCAGATGCTAATAATACCGTAGCTTGTGGGAACGCTAATTCAGTTTTTAAATTGAAAAAAAAATACTCATCGCTTTGCAGGGTGAAGGGGTTCGGAATATTACAGTACCCTTTTTACGTTTATGCCTTTTAGGGGCAAAACCCCCTTGAACCGTGCCACTTACGGCGTTTATGAATTGTTGCATTGATCAAGTACATTTTCAACAAGTTACTACGATGGTTTCCACTACATGTGCTAATACTATTTACGAACGTACGCTTTACCTCGAAAATAAGTTTAATAAATTTTATTTGGAGAACGATTAAACAAAGAATTTTTTAAATATTTTTTCCAGCATGTTCTCATTTGATACTACCAAGGATAAAATTTTGTCGCTTTATTTAAGAATCATCCTTTATTTATTTCACACACTGACAAAAAATGACGGCGATAATTTTAGACAAAATAACTATTTTGAAATGGAATGAATGAATATTCAGTTATAATACCACGCGTAGTCAAAAATTGTCGAATATTTTTATGACTGGTCATTCGCTTATGTTCGCAAGCGTAATGGCTATGAATAAAAATATTCTACAATGTTTGACTACGAATTGTATTTAACAAACTATTCAATAAACCAAATGTCAAATTTGCGTTACACATGATCTTTGAATATACTCAATATAGAAAATCAAGTAACACACAATTTTCCGGTCGTCAAAATTTCAAGCCTGGCGCCGTCTCTTGTTTGTATGTTAAACTAAATTTGGCGGCAAATTTATTTATTTTTAAATTTAAATACTTTATCATTCAATTTTAATTTTCCTATTACAATTTAAACACAAATAACCAAAATTTTCAATAAAATCAGATATATGTGTTTAATAATAATATTTTGGTTATGATCAAGACATAAAGAAGCACATATAATGGACTTAAATTGTTTATTTATGCATTTAACAAAATTGTACCACACGTTATGATAGCATTCTCTAAAYTTACTAAGTAAATGGATTTGATTTTTACATTTTTGACTGGTGGCTCCTGCATTCTTAAAAAATCCTGCCGTTTAAGATAATTTCCAACAAAATTTAACTGAAAGAAGATAGATTAGGACTGTAYAGTAAATGGTTATACTGSTGGGCACTACAGATTTAGATGGCGACCTGTACATTTGCTAATATATGCTCCAGTSGGTTTTTGTGAAAGAGCAGTACATCTGACGTGTGGATTTCATGCCTTTTCAAGTTGATAGAATCACACAAAACTTTAAACTATTTTGCATAGTTTCCTTTTGATATGATCGTCTCAGGTAGTATAAACCTTAATAGCAAAAGTCCTTCTTTAGCCCAAAAAACTGTTGCGAAGACTTTATCGTGTAAATTTTTTGTTTGAACTTTTTATACTTTATTTTGGAATAAGATTATTGATTATTGTCTCATTATCAATTCCTCCAAATGTTGAGCAAAAATTTCTCGATACATACCACCGAATTACGGTACAAAGTGTTTTAGCCTATCCGGACTGACAGAATCTCTGTTTGAACTGCGGTCAAAATCACAGCGGAGGACACATTATTAGAGAGACGTTTAGTCAAAATTGATTTGTTACCTAAAAATGATTCTTTTTTAATTCTACAACCGTGTTTTTAGAATCAATCAATAAAAATTTCTCAGAGTCTAACCCTATATTGCAAAGCCCTTGTGATATCGTCCAAGTGTGATGACATTAGCTGTAAAAGAGCTTAAAATTCCCTCTAGTTCTAGAAATAGACCACAATTCAAAAGCGAAAATTTTCCTTTCTAATTATGTTTTTACCTGTTCAAATTTTGACGGCAGTTCAGATATCCCCAAATTTCTGGACTCTTACCCAGTAGTTTCAAGATTCTCTTGAGGAGCATTGCTGCTGGATATCTTTTAGGAGAGTGTTACCTATTTCAAAACTTGAAACTTGAATAATTCTACCTTAAAAGTAGATACTAATAAAAAACGAAACCAAACAAAATTTAAACACACAATGAAAAGAGCGTACCACGAACAAAGTATGTAACAAATAATTCGAACTCCAAAGGGAAATATTAACTAGGAAATTATTTGAACAATACTAGTGAAAGTTGATTGAAAAGTGTTTTTTGATATTTTGCGTCAAATATCCAAAGATTGCTTTATATTCTGTATTTTTTTAAGTAAAAACAAAACATACAACCAAGAGATGGCAGTAGTAGTTTCTGTTTACTACTGTTTGTGGTAATTTACAGAAATCTGTAAATAAAAGCAAGTGGCGCCGTCTCTTGGTTGTATGTTTTTCATTAACATATTTGCCTATGCCTGCTGATCAACCCTGCACATGATTTCATTTTCATAGCAACCGATAAAAAATCAAGTTAGTTTAAAATATTCACTGCAACCACTCCTGGAATATCCAGTTATATTTTATCACGAGTAGAATAGAGTTCCTATATTTGAAGAGTTGGGACACTGAACGCCCATAGAACACACTCAAACCGAGCCAATTTTGTATTATGTGGATAAGGTATATACGTTCTATCCTTTTTCATTAAAATTTTTCGTAGCAACTAATGTCAAGTTTATTTCAAAAATTATTTTAAGGTTATAAATTTTGTCCTATTTACAAATTGACATAATTTTACCTCAGATTTGGTCAGGGACGTAGGAGATAAATGGACATTGAGATGCGACCAGACAGGAAAAAATTATGTGTACACAGTTGCTGTATACAGCATTTACCATGAGTAATAAAAACTTGATAATGTCTCCAGAAAACGGTGGAAAACCTGAAACTTACGAAAATATTAGACTTGACCTGACCTGACGTAGATAAAATAAAACACTCCAAACAACGGAATAATAGTCCTGGATCATGTGAAAGCTTCACCTTTGTTTTTAATAAATTTTACTTTTGGGGCCCACACTCCAGTTGGCTAGTTTTAAAGAGGTTCCACTTGTCTCACACTGTCTGGTGCATTGGAGCAACGTGGCACAGAAAACAACTCACAGTTTCATTATGTATTAACACATAGGACCCAGCAGAATTGGTCATAATGACCAATAAGGACAGAGGTCAATTTTTATTTGACAAATTTATTTGACTTTTTGTTAAGTTTTACCGAAACGCCACTGATTTATATCCAATTTTATTGTTATTATACGTCAGCCGACGTATATAAAAGAAAAATTGGAAAATTGACATTCAGTGTCCCAACTCTTCTAATATAGGAACTCTAGAGTAGAATATTCGCTTGAACTTATTGCTAAGATACTATTTTATTGGTTAATATAAAAGAGAGATGAACTATATAATAGTCAACTATATTCCACGAGCGAAATATTTAGATTTGTATTTGGTGTGCACAAGAAATGTATCTACAGTGGCAGACTAAATTGACACAAACAATAAAAAAAGCAGATTTTCTAGATTTTCTTTATTTTATTGCACCAAAACAATAATTAAACTTAAATCTCTCTAATATATTTTTTCGCGACTAACAATAATACTTATTAAAGGTATTTATACTTTAGTCTGACAATTTCCCTCGCAAAATTAAATAAGCCTATCAAATATTTCAAATTTTTGAGATTCATCCAATCAAATTAAAATTACGCGATAATTGTAATAATTATTATCAATAATTTACCCGTGTCCTAAGTTACCGCGAATCTGATCTGATCAAAAATTTGAAAGATTTAGTAGAGATAATTTTTTTTGACATGTGCAAAATACTCCTTGTGCATGACAAAATTATCGTCAACTTGACTTGCACTCGGGGTATTACTATTGATAATTGTTGAGAACTGCAAGTAATGAGTAAGCTCGTCGAATAATCTAAAAACGATATCAGTTAAAAATTCAAGTTAAAAATGGCGAATGATTACCGTAGTAAAAGTAACAAGTGATAAATCCAATATTTTTCCAGCTGTAACAACTATAGGTTTTTTTGAACGCTCCATTAAAATTATTAACAATTTTTTAGATTGCAAGTCATAGTTGTACCATTTTCCCATACAAACAGCATTTGTCAAGCTGTTGCTCTAAAAAATGCAAGTGTAATATTCAGTAAGATTTTTATTTTTCATAGGTTACTTCTTCGTATAAAGTTGATCCAAAGTAACAATACAAAAAAATTTCTAAGAGCATCGTTAAAAGAAATGTAATCATGCCAAAGAAATTAAAAGTAAAGGGTTCAACCTAAAACATAAAACATATAAGAAATCATTATTTTTAAATATAAAGTCATACCATAATTAACTGTAAACAAGAAACACAGACTACAATAACTGATGCAGTGAATTGAGTAAAAACCACTGATGAATAAACATTTTCATAGTATTGTACAAATCTAAAAGTTGATTGCATTACAATTTCTTTTTTAATAAAAATGTATTTCTACCTTAGAATCGCATTGTGATGATCTATACACTTTTTGATATTATCATAGATAATATAGTTTATTATATCATTTTTGTTGATTAAACTCCTGGTGTGAGAAAAATTTGCAACAAATTCTTCTTCTGCATATTCACTCAAATTTTGCAAGTTGTCTTTTAACAACCTCAATTGAACTGTGGCAAAATAAGCCATTCCAGACACTAGAGGATCAATTACGCCATTAGACATTGCACCGTTTCCAACACCTAAAATCCTTTTTATTTTGGGATTTTGAGATTTGGTAGGTACAAACCCAACACAATAAACACAAACACTAAAACATAAGATTTTGTGTCTGCTGTTGCATCAAAAGGCAACCAAATTGTAATGGGAAACTTATGAACACTTCCGAAAAATGGCGTCGAAGCCCATGTAATCACAGAAAGTACGCAAAATCCCAAAAACAGCCAAGTGTTTCTTTTGCAGATTTTTACGCAATTGTTAATTATAACTTCTTGTTGTTTGGTGTAGTTGTTTAAGATTTGCCATTCCATCATGTAAATGCTTTCCCTGACTTTATCCACAATAAATATGAAAGGAATTAGTTTAAAAATAAAACATCCGACTTGAAAAATTATAAATGAACTGTCACACACTTGAACCAAATCCACATTTTCAGTAACCAACAAATGAATTCCTGCTAGTGTTGGCACTGGAATTGTTAAAAATACATATACAGCATAAGCGTATATTTTGTAAATATTTTTATATTTATTAGGGGGATAAAACCCTAACAGCTGCATTATTAGTAAATTTATTTTAAAAAATCTCTTTACTGTTCCCTTCATTTAAAAGACTGCTTTGCGTTCAAAGAAGACGCTTCAACTATAATTACTAACTACCATCAGTAATATATAATGTTTTGTATTATTAAATATTTTACAAATTTGGAGGATTGTACAATTACATTAATAATACGAGTTTAACCTAGTAATTAAAAATAATGTCGTAAACTTACTGGGCCTGCTATACTCAGTACTTTTTGTAATAAATTTTGAATCAATTAATTCTAGGGTTTGAAAGGATAAGAAGCATATTGTTTTATTAATGAAACGTTTCAAAATATTTTTAAATAAAAATAAAGAGGTAAATTGGGAAAACCAGCTATCGTAACACCAAATTTAATATAATGAAAACAATTTATTTTTATGTTGTGCAAATGACGCAAAATAAAATATCGTCTTTGACTTTACAAATATCTGCTATGTACCTAAAACCTAAAACTGGGTTTTAGGAGATGTAAGAAAGTACAGTCGACGTAAACTACAAAAAAAAGATTTTCCTGAAACAACGATAAAACCTACTGTTTGCTTATTCTTTGCCAAGAAGTTTAAGCAAAATTTTGTCCATTGGTAAGAATTTATAACTTGTAAAAACAAAACATTTGATATATTAATGTCAAAGCGACATAGGTGGGAAATAGTTTTGAGAAATAGTGAAATACATTTGTCAAAAGAGGAAAACCAAAAGAAAAACCCTGTATGTAATAAAAAAATGTCCTATACATCAAAAGTTAGGTAGGTATATGCCAAATAGCTAAAAATACACTCGTAAAATAATTTTTGAAGTTTTGAATTTTATAGCAGTTAAGACAACAAGAATTTTAAACTAAAGGGTGATTCATTTAGAGGTATTTTTTCAAAAATTAAAAATTTAATTTTATCGGGTAATATTTATTCTCATACAAAAGAACTTATTTAAACAATTATTTTTCAAAGATTATGTCTTTCAAATGTTGGCCTTGGCTGTGACTACCATGGTCCATTATAAAATTCTAATTTTCCATAAAGCGTTGTAGCATTTCGAATGGTGTTTGGCGATTGACGCGAGTAATGTTGGCTTCCAATGCAATCGTAGCCGGTTTATTCTTGTAGACTTTAGATTTTACATAGCCCCAAAAGAAAAAGTCTAGGGGTGTGATATCACATGACCTAGGCGGCCAATTAACCGGTCCGAAGCGGTATTGCAAAAACAATCCGGTGAACATTTAATTTCACGCTTCGCTTTCACTTCATCAATGATCTTATATTGTTCTGACACATGATTAGTAAAAAGTGGATTTTCTAACATATAAATAAATCTTTTCCGAATTTTTCCAAAAAGGTACAAACTTTGCAAGAATATATCCAATTTGACAAACAGTCCTTATTGCCAGGTCATATTTTGACCTTTACCGTATTTACATACTTTATGATATATTAAATTTTTCTGATTTAAAATACATCTTATCATAGCAATTATAGTCCTAGAATCGCCGATTCTAAACGTTCACAAAAGCAGTAATTTGGAATTATTACGTCTTCATTTACGAGTATAATGTAATCACCCGTCTTAATTTATTATTTATAAGAATATCTGTCATGATAGGCACTTAAAATTAGACATACCTACTGTCTCCCACACGTTAGTCATCGTTATTGTGTTCGAAATGCATTAAAAAATGCAGCAAATACTTAAATCTTATTTTTTGTATTCCTTGACTTTAATGCAAATTTTGGGTTTTCAACCCACTTGCAATTACAAAAAACTATACAAATTGTTTGCCAATTTTGTGTATTATTTTTTAACATTACCTACGCTGGCTACTGTTTACCTATTGGTGGAAGATAACATTGAATTGCTTCCATTATCCAACAGTGTTTTTTTGAATTTCATTCCATGTATGTAAAACACAGGTCTTGTACTTAGTCGAGATACCAAATATTATGTTTTGGTTCTAAATTTCATTTCAAGTCATAATACATAAACGAAAAATAAAAATCAAAAATTTGCACAAAGTTTTTTTTTTGTAGTTTATATATTATAAAAAAAACATATTTTAATTTAAGAAAGTGTTTTATTAGCAGCCAATATGAACATCTCTAGCCCGGCGCATCCACCAAAACTGAAAAATCTTTACGAAACACCAAAACCATTTCACAAATATTGCAAAAATTGAGCCAATGGTCATCTACTACCGTATTTAAAAATTCTCACAACGTTAGTATTTGTTCTATAAGTTAAGAAAAGTAATTGTGTTCCAATGAGTGTTAATACATCAATTCACGAGCAAGCGCTAGCTCACGAGTAGATGAAATTTAAATGAACATGGAAAAATCACTTTTCTGAATAAGTGGAACATGCTGTTTTTTGTACATTTGCTATTTTTGACAAAAAAATAAAAACAAAAGTATTTAGTTATGGGTAGGTAACTAAGATCGTGAAGAAATGTGTTCCTAACAAAAAAGGTTCACTTATTTTTACCATTTTAACGAAAATCGTGAAGAAAAGTGTTGGTAACTAAAATCGTAAAGTAATGTGTTCCTAACACAAAAAGTTTCACTTTTTTACGATTTTTAATTAAACAATGTGGTAAATATACGAAAAAAGTTGTTTATTTTTTCAGGAAAAAATAGCAATATCCCACTTTACCTGAACCAGAGCGACTTTCTCAACAAGAAATTGTCAAGTTTTTAAGTATAACATTTAATATCAAATTAACATGGAAAACGCACATGCAAAATCTCAAAATGGAATACAACAAAAGACTAATTATAATTAAAGTAAGTAAATAAATAAATAAATAAATAAATAAATAAATAAATAAATAAATAAATAAATAAATAAATAAATAAATAAATAAATAAATAAATAAATAAATAAATAAATAAATAAATAAATAAATACATAAATAAATAAATAAATAAAAACGATATATCAAAATGCCTTCAGGGAACGGTGCAATTACACCAACTACCACCAGATAATTCTTCCCTCGCAAAGACTAGTACGAGTATATGCAACGCAGAATTAACCACTTTACAATGTGCTTTCAACTTTATAGAAACTCAACCACAAAATTCTCTCTTCCATTAAAGCTATTTATAAAATTGGAATCCTGTGCAAGAAATCCAAGAAAAACTTAGAGATTACCTTTATCCCCCCTCATACGAAAAAACCAATAAAGCAGCGAAAGAAGTGGCAGAAGTTAAAACAAAGGCAGAAAACAATAACGGCATAAGTACTAAAAAAAGATTGTAAAAGCTATGTTAGAAAGAAGGTGCACATTTAAACTTGTATTGTTTTTATTGCTTTAGTGTTCTACGTTTATAAATTTAGCCAATTATGTTTACGCACTTACCTTTTCTTTATGTTACTTACTTTGCGTGTCAAAATTTTTAATTTTACTTTTTATTTTTTTCTAAACGATTTTACTTTTTTTACACCATTTAGAAACAGAAACATTGCCAAGACACGACCCAGATTCGAACCCAGGTCTTCCAACCTGTGGGTGAGAAATTTTACTCACCCCAAATAATTTTTGGGTTTTCACATCATTTTTTTTATGTGTTTGATGAAGACCTAAACTTTTTAAATAAAACACTCATTGCTTTATTTTTGTTTTTATTAATGAAAAAGTATACACACATCAATTTTTTGGTTCTCCCATCTTATTCAGCATATTAGTACACTGCAGTTAGAAAAATAATAATGCCGGAATATTTTAATGCTTAAGTGTCTTTATTACTTTTAATAAAGTAAATATTAATATTGTTTCTAAAGAATCCTTATAAAAGTCTTTGATTTTTATTTTATTATTTTTTAAACCGCTATACATCAAAAGAATAGTCACTTGATAAGCTTCAAAAGTAAACTACCGTTGCAACTGGCCCTTATTTATAAATAATCCATTAATTCAAGTCATCTTGCATTATAGATGAAAACTCTTAAAATGAATTACTCAAATTACTACTTTGTAAAAATATGGCTGACTCAGATATACTATTAGTACACTTAATTACTGCTGTTAATCGAAATAAATTTTTCATAAGTAATACTTAACCCTTAATATTAAAGTAGTGTAGATAAAAAAAATTCCCTCTGTAACCACTCATTACGTATAAGTAAAAAATAATAAAATTGGAATACAAACATTTTTTTGCTTAATTTATCTTAGCAACAATAACTACAAGTGTGTTTTAAGTAGTGCGAACCTTTGATAGTTTCTTATTAACTAAAAATGACCGACATGACCTTTGAAAAATTGGATCTAAGAGAATTTGTGACTTTGAATTTAAACTGTATTCATTTTTTCGGTTATTTTTTTCCACGATTTGAAAAATCATCAAAGAAAAAAGTTTTTTACTACATTTACGCTTTGTTTTTTGTTGGATTTGCTTTTATTTTATCTTTTATAAGTCAAATGGCAAAAATGATCGAATCTTTTGGCGATATGGAAAAAATGACCGAAGCATCTTTCCTCCTCCTCACCAATCTTGTCCAAAGTATAAAAATTGTTGTTTTTAACATCTACCGTCCCCGAGTATGGCAGTTGGTGGAAAGTATGAATCGAGAAGCTTTCAAGCCACGAAATGTAGAACAATACAATATGTTACTTCGAGAAATAAAAAAATCAAAATTAATAACAATCTCATTTTTAATTGCTTGTGTTATCACTTGTGCTTCTTGGGGTATTTCACCTTTGCTTGACACAACTGTTACCAATGGAAGAAAGTTGCCTTTAAGTGGATGGTATCCCTTTGAAACGGAAGCCTCACCTATCTTTGAGTTAACATACGCATATCAAATGTTTGTTACAACAGTTGGAGGATTGGGAAATATTAGTATGGACACATTTTTGTCTGGATGTATTATGAATCTTTCGGCACAAATAAGTGTCTTAAATAATGCTCTGGAAAATATGAAATCACAACAGGTGAACACTGATGAAAAAACTAATGAAAGTCTAATCAAAAATGTTGTACATCATCGAAATATTCTGCAGTACTGAAATGATAAATTATTAATTTTTTATATTAATATTTGTTTTTTAGATTTGCAGAAGAATTTACTAATCTTTTCACAACTTGTATTACTGGAATGTTTGTCGTTGGAGTTATTATAGTATGTATATCGATGTTTCAAATGAGTTTGGTGCCAGTTTTGAGTTTTCGATTTTTGGCAATGTTGCTTTACCAGATTTGTATTTTGGAAGAAATGTATTTGTGGTGTTATTACGGGAATGAAGTGATTTTGAAAGTAAGTATTTTATATCTATAAATAAAGCTTTGTATTTTACTTGTTTCCTAGAGCAATAAATTAACAGAATCAGCATATAAATGTCAGTGGATCGACAGTTCAAAAGAGTTTAAACAACATTTATTATATTTTATGACACGAACTCAAATTCCTTTAAATTTGTACTCTTCGGGTTACTTTGTACTGTCTCTGGAAACTTTTAAAGCAGTAAGTTAAATGACATACAGGCTGGTCCAAGTTTTATCTGCCAACAGTTTAAACTACAAAACAACTAAACTACAAAAAATTAAAAACTGACAGTACCTTATAAGAAAAAATTTGGACTATACTGTATAGTGTTAATATGTATTTTCTATAAATTTATTTATAGATTGTGAAATCATCGTGGTCCTACTTTGCAGTTTTAAATCAAGTTCATTCGAAACAAATAGATTAGTTACTACATGTTAATCCTGTCATACTTAGGTTTTAAAGATTACCTAGTCTAAAAAAAATGTGAAAACTGTCACTAAATATTATGTTCAATAGAATAAATTATGTATGCACCAGCAATTGTGGTTCTTTTGAATCAATTTTTAATTAATGTAGAGACAGAAGATCTGATCTGACAATTTTTGTATATTCTGTTGCTTTTTATTTAAAGTCACAGATAATAATGATATTTGAAAGCAGGAAATTATTGTCCATAAACTGAAAAAAGATGAATGCTCCCCCTATTTTAAGTTGTTAGCAACTAAACAGACCAATCGTATCAAAACAAAAATTAAAATGAACAATTTTTTTATGTGATTTCATGTAACAAATTCAACTTCTACAAATTATGGTGCATGTTTTACAAATGTAAAATTTACATTGTTCTGTTACGAGGCCCTTCGAACTGTGTTAAAAAACATCAAATTTAAATTAAAATTTCAACTAAATTTTAAAAATGTAACTTTTTATTGGTAACTACATAAGGGCGGGGCATTGATCAAGTTATATTTTAACGACTAAGTTAATGCTATCAAAGGAATTAATGTTACATTAAAAAAATTAAGCCGAAAAATGAAAAATTGTGGAAATTCTATGGCCAACTTAATATTTATTTAGTAGGTAACATTAAAAAACTTATAATAATAAGTAGGTAAGTCAAAAATACAATATTTATTGCGTGACTTATGCCGTTAAATTTGTAGGAGCTGCAATGTGCATTTAATAAACTGTTTCGACGAAACGAAAAAATGACAGATGCGTTATTACTGCTTTTAACAAATTTAGTACAATATTCAAAATGTGCTCATTTTTACTGTCTCAAGATTTCTTAATTTTTGTTTATTTTATGAAATATCCAGGATTGTTCGTTTTAAAAAATCACCTTGTATGTATAAATAAGTTACGTAAGAGAAGGTTTAGACTCACGAGCCTGTAGGACGAGTGGGGTACTTTTCTCAAGTGACTTATTTTTAATTTTTAATTTTTTTATTTGATATTTCCATTCTTACTTAAGTACATTTTACATTCTTTATTTTTTATTGATACTAAATATTAGAAACAAAACATTCCAGGACACTGCAATTGTAAAAATAATAATTTCAAACTGTTTTAATTGCCAAGTTTTTATTAGTTTTAATAAACTAAATGTTAACATCTTACCTAAAAATTTCTAGGATATACAGGATCGTTACTTTCTCATTTGGTACTTTTAAGCCGCTATACATTGAAAGGGTAGCCATATGATAAGCTTTTAAAGTAAACTGCCGTTTCTAGTGGCCCTTAAATACCTAAACCCTGAAAATAAATTACTCAAACTACCACTTTGTAAAAATATGATTAACACTGGTGTACTATTAGTAATTATTGCTTTTAGTCGAAATAAATTTTATATTTAGAAAACTAACATTAACAATGCTACAGACAGAAGTAATTTCACATTGAATCAATTACTTATTAATCTTTCTGGAAACTTTAAGGTCACGTTTTAATATTTAGTAACGTTTAAAACACAAATAATAAGCAGGTGAGTCAAAAAAAACAATATTTTTTATGATGTTACAATTTCTATTTAATCAAAACAATTATTAGTCCATCATTTATTTCCAGCAGTGACAATGAACAACATTGAGAAAATAGATTTAACGGAATTTGTAAGATTCAACATAAACAGCATCCACTTTTTCGGCTATTTTTTACCTGAATTTGAGAACGATTTAAAAAAGAAAATTATTTACGTGATTTATGCTGTTACATTTGTGAGTGCTGCGTTTGTCTTACCTTTTCTAAGCAAAATTGCAACTTTAATAAATTCTTTCGGCGATATTGAAAAAATGACAGAGGCCTCATTCCTGCTTTTAACAAATTTGGTACAAATATTCAAAATGTATATATTCATACATAACGGTCCAAGAGTATGGAAATTAATTCACAACATGAATACAAAAAATTTTAAACCGAAAAATTCAGAACAATGCAACATTCTCGTCGATGGAATCAAAATGTCGAAAAAGATATCAAAAACGTTCTTTGTGGCTTGTACAATTGTTTGTCTATTGTGGGGAATTTCTCCGTTTATAGATAGAAAAGATTGTGAAAAACTTAGATTGCCATTAAGTGGCTGGTACCCTTATTCCACTGACACATCACCGGCATTTGAGATTACATACGCTTATCAAATTTTAACAGCATGTATTGATGGATTAGCTGACATAGGAATGGATACCTTTATGTCGGGAGTTATTATGGTCATTTCAGCACAACTTAGTTTACTTAATTGTTCATTAAAAAATATCACTAAAGGGTGCACAAATAGTTCGCTGAAAGATCGAAAAAAAGTTAAAACAAACTTAATTGAGTGTGTTGTTCACTATAAAACCATAATACGGTATGATAAATTCAAACTGTGCATAATGTATTATAACACGTTGTACTATTTTAGATTTGCAGCAGAAATGACTTATCTTTTCACTTTTTGCATCACAGTTCAATTTATAATTGGTGTAATAATAGTTTGTGTGTCTTTATTTCAAATGACTCTAGTATCAGTAATGAGCTTTCAATTTTTCTCGATGTTTCTGTATCAGAGTTGCGTATTGATGGAAATTTTCTTGTGGTGTTATTACGGCAATGAAGTGATTTTAAAAGTATTTTTTATTTTATTATTTTCTGTAAATGACTGCAATTTCTTCTTGCAGAGCGATGAACTAACTCGATCGGCTTATATGTGTGAATGGATTGAGGAGTCAAAAGAATTTAAAAAGAATCTGCTATTTTTTATGACACGAACACAAATTCCTCTCAAACTTTACGCTTCAGGATATTTCACTTTGTCTCTTGAAACTTTTACAGCCGTGAGTATTTTTTTAAACTTGAAAAAAATGTGGGAAGCAAAAGACTTTCAGGTTCTCAAATCATCGTGGTCATATTTTGCAGTCTTGAAACAAATTTATTCTAAATAAATTTAGGAAAAAAAAATAAAGCCACCCTCAATGCAAATTTGTACAATTTGTAAAAAGATTAGTGGTAACAAATCATGTTGTTCTACTGCAATTTTATGTAGCAAAAATAACCTAATAAATATTTTGTTCAACAAATAGGTTTTTTGCATTCGCTCTTTAAGGCTAAAGGGGAACATGTTTTAGTTTGTTGCAAAAGCGGCAGTTGGCGGGGAATCTCTTTAACTATTCACATTTTATATAATTGGAAAAAAGTTTCGGACATAAAATATTATTTGAAAACCCGCCAACGTAACACTTTTTTAATTTTTGTTTTTTTTTTGAATAAAATATTAAAAACAGGTATAATAGAAAATATTTTTGAAAAAAACAAGGTAGGGCGACGAATCACCATTTTTTCCTGAAAAGAAAAGTGTATTAATTTCTGAAATTCAATAACGAGAAAGTCATCAAAACGCGAATTTTGTATCGTCTTTTTGATGTTCCGCCGAGCCGCATTTTTTGCTCTCCCTGTAAGGGAGGTAATGTTTGGAAGCAACCACTACCCAAGAATACGATATTTTTAAATAAGGCAAACTCTTATACCAAATTTCCTGAGATCAGTTTACATAATTTAATTACAAACAAATATTTGAATTCGCGATTAAGTTGAGATGTGACAATGAAAAAAATCTGGAGTGAAGATCGCACGATTAGGGCTTCAGTAGGTGATAACAACATTGTTGATGATGATTTTTGGAGAACCAATAATTGGTCACAATATTGCATGAATGAATTTTTTCCTTAGAAGAAAGCTAGAAAAAATAAAATGTTACTTACTAGAAACGATCAAGAATATTACGGACAAAACTGCAATTTGAATTCAAGTATTCTCAAAAAAGAAAATAGAGATTATGTAGCAAGTTTGAATGTAACAGAAGAGAAATGAACGAAAACGCTACTAGGGAACAAAGTGGATATGACAGTTGGTTTAATTAAAGAAAGTGTAGAATCACCGCCTCGAAAATAGGAAAAAGAATTACAAGAAGAAAAACCAGTTCTTGGGCCCCCTTAGTTCGATCGTTTATATACAGTGTCCCAGGTTTTAGGATCGACGCAAAAATAAATATTTCTAATTAATTTTAAAAAAATTGCTAGTGCAAACCATAGAGGACTTCAATTTGATGCTTTAATATTGTTTAAAATAAAATACTTTAATAATAATAATAATAAAACTTTAATAATAATTTTTTCAGTTTTTTGGTCGCATTCTATTCGTATCAACACAGTACATCTTTCCCCTAAGCGATTTTTTAAATATTATGAATATTTATATAAAATTTGAATAAAAAAAGTTAAATAATTTTTTTTTCAAAAAAGTGTTACGTTGGCAAAAATTCAAAATGTCTTTAAAACTGAATTCAATTTTTTGATTTAAAATTGGATCAAAAACTTCGCTAAAAACAGCCAAGTAAATTTCAATATACTTGTCTTTGTTGCACACTTGGTTTAACTCTGCCTTAAAACGACTACTTTGCTAACTCAGAACACGCCGCAAAAGGATCTATAAAAACCACGTTCTCTAATGTGTCATAATAATTTTACAACTACCTAAAAATACAGTTTTTGTGGACAAATCGTGTTGCTGTTTCCAAACGAGGCAAAACCGAACCTGGAATGGCAGATGAGTTTGCAAAAACTTTTTAGATACGTGTGACTAAAGTCTTTTTAAGTATTTTACATAGTATACTATAGTGCATTTCTTGATTAATTATTTTACTGGCCACAACTTTACGAAACAGTGATGTCTATAACTTTTTTGTTTTATACAATAAAGGATAGTAAAATTAAGTGTTGCCCTTTTTAAAATAATTATATTAACAAAAAAACACATTAATGAGCTATAAATAAATAAAAGTTATTACATCTAATAAAACTAACAAGATGGCAAATAGCAAAAATAATAATCAAATCTTTAGTGACTGTGTAATTTGTTAATTTATTTTGTACTCAATGTTAAAGAGTGCTTTTATCAACTAATTTCAGTAGATAAAGTAGTCTTTTATCGTCTAGTGAAATAAAGTAAATTCTGGTAGGTGAGTACAAAATAAAACAAAATATACACGACGATTAATATTGTATATCTACTCGTGAAAAAAGTCCACTCGTGACTTCGTCACTCGTAAACTTAACCTTTTCACTCGTAGATAAACAATTTCTTTATAGTCTTATATAATAAATAATTAATTTTTGTGTGTACAGTTATAACATGTTTTGCATTTGTTTACATAGAAAGAACAATACTTTTTTTTGTTCCAAAAAATGACACTATTTGGACCACACTATATAAATTTATTTCAATAAATATTATTTGTATGTACATTGTCAAACAATTGTCGTTTTATCGCTCTCCTCTTAATTTATTTTAGTGCGCGGACAAATTTATTTTATTGTTATATACGTCAGCTCGTCAGCCGATGAATATAAAAAAAAATGAAAATTGACATTCAGTGTCCCAGCTTTTTTAATATAGGAACTCTAGATTTAGGTATAGGTTGCTTAGAAATTGTCATTCTTACAAACTCAAACAACTAATTTTTGATTAAGTAATTTTTGTGGTCAGCAGGGGCGGATGGGCATATCTCTCAAGTGTAAAAGAATCACTCAAAATCGTTTTGGTGGTTCCTAGGGCGAATCAAAATGACATGGTAAAATTAAATGTTCTTTTCACTGAATTAGAATAATGAAGTTTTAATTACAGATTTGCTCGTTTCATGTGAAGCAAAAAATGTTTTTTCCTTTACAGTTGTGGCGTAAAATCAAAGATAAAAAAATTTCCTCTTGTAAACTCAATCTGGAGACACACTGTATATTAAAAAAAAAGAAGAAGAAGTTGTGTTGCATAGCTATAATTGTATAATTCTATTGATCTACAAATTAAACAAACTAAAAAGTTCTAAGATGTTTCACTGAATACAAACATTCATTAGATGTCTGTAGTATGAACTCTGTTTAAAACTGCAAAATACGACCAACTCGATTTTACAATCTGAAATACAAATATTAGCACCTTGTAGAATAAAATACGAAATATTGTACGGCCATAAAAGTTTCTAAAGACAATGTAAAATAACCTCCAGCATAAAGTTTAAGTGGCTTTTGTGAACGAGTCATAAAAAACAACAAATCTTTTTTAAATTCCTTTGGGAAATCCAACCATTGGCTCATATAAACCGACTGTGTAAGCTTGTTACTCTGAAATTTGTTTTTAATTGCTTTTTTCTTATTTGTTGTTAATAACAAACCTACTTGTAGTATTATTTCGTTGCCGTAATAGCACCAAAGAAATATTTCTGTAATCATACAGGTTTGATACAGAGCCATTGACAAAAATTGTAAACTCAGTGGTGACACCTTAAAAAAATGATTGATAAAATTTTTTTATAATTTTTTTTAATTATTTTTAACAAACCAAACTCATTTGGAACATTGTAATACAAATTATTATTACACTGACCACAAATTGGCTCATTATACAGGTAGTAAAAAGCCCAGTCATTTCTTGTGCGAAACTGAAAATCGTTTTTAATACATTTTATTTCACTATTTCCTACTATAACCTACTGTATTATACCTTGATGATGAATAACATTTTGAATTAACTTCTGACGATTTTCTCTGGATTTTGCTTTGTAGTCCAGTTTCAGGGTTTGAAGCGAATTATTTAATATTTTCAATTGTCCAGAAACAACCATTATAATCCCCGATAAAAACGTATCAATGCTAATATTCCCCAACCCATTAACCAACGCACCCACAGTTTGATACACAAAAGCAAATTCAAAAATTGGAAATTTGGTCGTATCAAACGGAAACCATCCACTTAATGGCAACTTTACCGTTTTTTCCTTCTTATTCAAAAAGGGGAATATTGCCCAGAGAGCACAAGTCGCAAAACCCGCAAAGAGAAATAAAATTGTTACAAGTCTAGACGACCTAATATCATTGACAAGATATTCGTATTGTTCTTGATTTTTTGGTCGAAATTCTTCTCGATTAATACTGTCAATAAGTCGTCTCACTTTTGATTTGTGAAAAATAAAAACATACAGTTTTGATATTTGGACAAGGTGAGTGAGAAGCAAAAACGAAGCACCTGACATTTTCTCAATGTCTCCAAAAACCAAAATCATGTTGATCATCTCACTTGTGGTGTATAAAACAAACATAAAACCGACGAACACTGAGGCATAAATGTAATAGAGAATTTTGGCCAAAAAAGAATTGAAATCTGGACAGAAATAACCAAAAAATTCCATCGATTTCACATTGATTTTTACTATGTCTCTAAGATCTAATTTGCAAAGTGAATTACTTTTCATTTTGATTTTAAAGTTCTCTTTCACCTTATAATAATTTTGTTTAAAGAAACAATCAATTAACAACCGGTATAAAGAGATATCCGTTTATCTTATAAATATCTCATTACCCAAGTGAAACTACGAATTATGTGATGAACTGAGATAATAAGCAATATTTAGCATGTAAAATTAATTAAATATATCAATTGGAGAGGACATTCTTATTTTTGGGGTTCTTTCAAGACAAACAAACAAATCGAAGCGTGATAAGGTAGGTAAGTATTTTGCGAAGATTAAAACTTTTTTTTTTCATTAATCTTGTATTTATAATATTTAAATAAATTTACTTTCATTTACATTAAATTTAAGTTACTGCCATTAAATGTGCAAATTGCAATAAAAGCAAATCGAGTATGTGATAAACTGAGAGAGCTTGTAAAAAATCAAACATATCGATTGGAGAAGACTGCCTTATTTTTGGAGTTCTTTGAAGACAAACACACAAATCGAAATGTTAAAATAGGTAGGTAGGCACTTTGCGAAATGAAAACTTATTTTTTTTTTAAATCTTGTAATTAAAATATTTATAAATTGTCTTTCATTTAAATTAAATTTAAGTTATGAGAAATTTCTGCCATTAAATGTGCAAATTGGATTTGCAATAAAAGCGAAACGAGTTTATTGGAAATCTATTTCAGCTGTTTCATATTTTATTGATGCCTTCTCGTTGACATTCGTGCCTGCTAACTACAATGCAAGTGACATTCAAAGATGCAAAATTTATTTCACTTGTAATTAAACTTCTAATAACATACCCAACCCAAAAGAATTTTTTATAAAATAATTTACCTTCGTTACGCATTCTTTGGAGCTTGTATTAATTATGCACGACCACCTCCACTTCGAACCGAATTATTTATTAGGTCTACTCTTTTCTATCGGCAGCTTCATTTAGTCGACAATCTAGCTGTGATCGAATTGTTTTTACAATAATACTAATAAAAATATTTTTTGTGCTTTTTAGGAAAAGAATATATACATTTGAATCCAAAATGAATGTATTATACGAGTATGCATCAGCGTATGTAGAAAAAATAAATCAATGAAGTATTTTTAGTTAAAACTAACGAAAATGATGTTTGAAATATATTAGTATTGCTAAAAGAGTTGATTTTCTTATTTTTCAGCTATAAATAAAAAATAAAATAGAGTATTTTGGTTTGCTAAACAGTAATTTACCCATTATTTTTTATTTATCTGAGGACGTTTGCAGATAAAATAATATAATATAATATGAGGTAAAGAAGACTTTATGTGCCTCAGCTGAATATTTTGGCGAACGTAGTGAAAAGTGTTTTTGTCACAATATAATTACTATTATGTGAAACATAAAATCGCATTTTTTTGTAATGATATAAACCTAATCAATAAAGAAAATAATTGTAAAATTCTGTTGTTCTTTTTTTGATACACAATAAATTTTCAGACAGTAAACAGGAATTTTTAGCTTATGGCACTTAAAATCTTTAAAAAATTACAAGTTTTAGATTTACTAAAAACAATTGACACTTAACAATTCTACTTCTTTCGCCGGGTCAAATATTATTATTTAGTTATAATTTGTTTAACTGAAATAATGTTACTAGATTTCACTCGAATTGTAGTTTAATTGTTGCATTATCTTTTACTGTGACTTTTCTTCTGAGTGAATTCGGTTTAATACTGCAAAATACGACCAAGATGTTTTAACAATCTGAAAATAGTTCGATTAAGTCTAAATCAAATAAATGACGTTACAACTTTTTACCGTTTTAAAAGTTTCAAGAGATAATGTAAAATATCCAGAAGCATATAGTTTGAGAGGAAATTGAGTACGTGTCATTAGAAAAAGTAGATTTTGTTTGAATTCTTGTGTACCATCAAGCCACTCTGAGTTATAAGCAGCTTGAGTTAGCTGATCACTCTAAAAAATAAATCACAACTTAATGTTCAACAAAAATGATAACAATAATACTTTCATAATGACTTCATTTCCATAAAAACACAATAAGTAAATCTCTATGAACATACAAATTTGATACAGTAACATTGCCGCAAATTGAAAACTTAATACAGATACTAGACTCATTTGAAACATAGACATGCAAATGATGATTACTCCTACTACAAACTGGGCTGTAATACAAGTTGTGAAAAGATTTGTTACTTTAGCAGCAAACCTAAAACTTATTTTTTAATAAATAATCTAGCACATACATTATTATTACTGTATAATGCTCTTATAATGACAAACACACTGAATTAAATTTTTATTAGCCGATCTTTTATCATTTTTGATATTTCTCGCAACATTTTCAAGTTCATTTCTCAGTAAACTAAGTTGTGTTGAAATAAGCATAATGGTGCCAGACATAAAAGTGTCCATACTTAAATCCCCTAGTCCTCCAACCCAAGTCGTCAAAATTTGATAAACATAAGCAAACTCAAAAGCTGGCGATTTTTCTGTACTAAACGGATACCAACCACTCAACGGCAATCTAAGCGCATTGCTGGCATTCTTATCTAAAAATGGCGATACGGCCCATGATACACAAGTCAGAGTACACATGAGTAAAAATAATTTTGAAAGTATTTTTGACGTCTTTATCTCATTGATCACGATCCGGTATTGGTTAAAATTTTTCGGCTTAAAATCTTCTCTATTCATGCTATAAACTAAATTCCATATCCCAGGGCCGTGATTCACAAAAGTATAAATCTTGAAGCATTGCACAAGATTTGTAAAAAGTAGAAATGAAGCCTCTGTCATTTTCTCTAGATCACCAAACACATCTATCATCTTGGCAATTTGGCTCAAAAGCGACAAAATGAAAGCAGATCCGACAAATAAGGCAGAGTAGATGCGGAAAAATAGTTTTCTTCGTGAATTATTTTTAAAGTTTGGGGAGAAATAACCGAAAAATTGGAGACATTTAATGTTAAATTGCACAAATTCGGTTAAATCTATGTCTAGATTATTTGCCATTATGCTGTATTAAACACCAACTCTGAATAAAAGTCTGGAGAAATTTTTGTTCGTTAAATATATATTTTTACGCTGCAAAAAATAGTGTTTCGAATCATACAACCAGGTATTAGTTCTTGGGTGGTAGTAAATTTTAAATCATTGTCAGTTTTTAATTATGGGTTTAAGTAGAGAATATGTAGGTACTTTTTTTCAATGCACGTGTCTCTAACAGCAAATATCTTATTAACCAGCAGGAATGTTAAATTTTCCCTGATCTAAAATTTATTTCACTTGACAACAGTAATTAAGGGTACTAATAGCAACTCAAATTTTACAAGGTGATAATTTGTTTTCAGTTTTTCCTTATGCCTTTCATTTATAATGCAACTTGTCTCAAATTAGGTGAATTATTTATTGTTAGGGGATTAGTTTTCCTGGTAATTTACTCACAATTTACCACTTTCAATCATTTTAAAGCTTCTTTCAGTTGAGTAAATACGTAAAATATCAAAAATTTGTGAAGATTTTTTATTCTACTTAAAACAGTTAATTATTTATTTTATAACATTTTGTCTTGCAGTTCTATATCAAATAAAAGCTTTTGAATCAGCAAGATATAGTTGAATATGTTATCAAATTGTTTTTTTTTCTCATAATAACGGTAAAGTAAGTACATTTATATTACATGCAATAATTTTACAAGCATATTCTGGTCTTATTTAGCAATTATACAAGGTGTCCCACGAGTAATAATGAGCCTGAAATTTTTTTGAAGCAACCAATATTACATTTCAAAGATAACGTGGATATTAAAATATTTGGTTTTTATAAATTAAACATAGTGACCAAACAGAATATCAACTTTAATTTATAAAAAACCTTGGAAAATTTGGTGAAAATTATTAAAATGTTGACGAAAAGACCTGTATATAAACTAAAAGTATATGGTGTTCTATAACATCTCTATAGATGTTTTTTTATTCAAAAATCAAATAATTCTTTTTGGGCGAATGAAGTATTTTAAATTAATAGCCGGTTTATGGAACATTTGTAATTTGTAATTGCAATTAAATTTTAATTGGATATAAATTTAACGTTTGCCAATGCAAAGTAAATCACATCTTAATTCACATTAAGTCTGAATAAATTTTAATTCGTTTTCTGTAAATCGAGTTTTAGGCTAATGTATAGTGTAAAAAAGTATAGGGTAAAAAAAATGGTGAATACGGTGTTTTCTCTTGTTTTTCTATATTGGATTTCTTTCTTTGAAAAGTCGAATTAATGTTAGTTTATAAATTCTAATATAAAACATTTTTAAAAATTTTGTATAAAATGGAAAACAACATGTTTCTAAATTATAAGCGAAACAACAGATAAATAGAAATATTTGTCGTCTGCATTTGTAACTTATTTATTACATAAGAAATATTTGTGTATAACATAATTTTCTACATAATAAAACAATTTTTGAGATTGTTTAAATAGATATTTATCGAAAAATTCGTGACTTTTGTCGTAGATGTATGTAAGTTTATTGAGAATGAACCAGATACAGAACCACAAAGTATGACCAAGATGATATCATGATCTACAAAAAAAAATACATTATTTCAAATAAAACTGAAAATAAAAATACTTTCAGTTTTGAAAGTTTCAAGAAATAAGTAAAATATTCCGACGCATAGAGTTTTAGTAATTGACAATGCCAAGATAAGTGTATTTTATAAAAAAGCATGTATTAACTGCAACATAAGAGGTAAGTTTAAATACACCATAGCAACAATATTAATCCTGTCACACACATATGTATGTATAGGCTGCTTGTGGTCACTCTGGAAAATATTAAAATTAACAATAGTGATCATTATTTTTCTTAAATGTTATACCTTCGAAGTAATAACTTCGTTTACGTAAAAACACCATAGAAATATTTTTAATAAAATAACAAGTGTTTATTTAAATTTGGCGTTATAGTTGACGGTGATATGAGTGAGTTGTGAACGAACCACAATTTCTAATACGGCCGGCGAGGTGTCAAATGTCAGATTAATAACTTCCAATAGAAACAAACCATATGGTTTGTTCACACTCGAACTTTCATAGATAGCTTTGACGCCAAATTTGACATCCGTTACATATTTGACAGAGAAGCATAGTCACAAATTGGAAAATGAAACTGACACCAAACTAAGAACAATACCAAACTCCTTTGAAACATTGACATACACTCCTACTATAAACTGAGTCATGATGCAAGTATTGAAAGTCTAAATTATTTCGTCCGCAAATCTTAAATCCATTTTTTAGTAAATAATTTATAAGGATAAAAATATTAATACATACCTACCCATTTTTTTCGAAATTTTCAAGAGCAGTGGGTGATATTAATAAAAATAAGCAAATACAAGCAACTGCTACATAATATTAGTATTTCCAAAAGTATAAGCTCTTACTTGTAGAAATTGCTTGTTTTCCTATTAATAAACAAATACAAATACTTTTGACGAGAGCATCGCCTCCTTAATCAAATGTATCAATATCCCGCCCGGGCATTTCGTAAAAAATGCATTGAAGCAGTGATTCCGACCTGAATGATTTTTAGTTATTAACGAAAAATAACGCAATTAATACAAACTGGGAAAGAAGGATAGAACAAAACAAGATATGCCAGGGAGAATTGATATTATATGAGGTTTAACCTCTCAAGCTAAAAAACTGGATGTGTCAAAAAATTTCCCCAAATTAACCGCCAACAAGAATCAGTTGAACTCAAAAAATGCCCAGGCGAGAAGATGATTATTTCTATCAACACGGCGCCGGCGATGGACGAAAGCAATTGCTAGTTGTTTTATAAGCGCTTAGCGTCCAATTCGCAGAACAGACAAAAATTTTAACATTTAAAATTGTTCTTATTTAGATATTTCTCCTTCAGACATTTAAAGTTTTTGAGCATCTTGGAGAAAATTTATCCAAAGTAGTGCTCTTTCTATAATTTTTCTGAAGACAATTTTGCGACGTTTTTTTACTTATTATTATTATTTAAACAATTTTTAGTTAATATACTTGTCCTAACCACACACTATAAAAAATTTCATCTTCATTCTCGACGAGAAGGCACTATATCGGGTGCGGCATCGGTTACGCCCATTGATAAATCGCGACTTCTAATTTATTTAAACTGACGATATTTCATATACCTTATATATAACTAATTATTGATAGGGTATAATTTGAAACTATTTCTATTTTTTTTTTTTTTGATAATAAATGAGTCCGTAACAGTTTTGTGTGTTTTATGAATACTTTCTGTTAATTTACCTACCAAAGTTTTTACACTAAATGAATCTGTACCTGTTAGCGCATCAAACTTTAATATCACAATTTCAAATTTTGACTTGGTTCGCCAAATAATCGCTTTTTTTATTTAAACACAAACTAGACCCGTGATTTATGACAAAATGGTATAATTTGCCAACAAAAGAATCATTTACTTGTAGCCGACCGCTTTAAAAGGTCTGTTTGTTGTAAACCTTGGAATTTTACCCCAATTGCAATTTCCCATTGTCACCTAAATTTATGATGGCACAAGTAGCAGGTCATAAATAAAAATGATTTTCAAAGTTAAGATGGAAAATTGCGTTTAATTCAAAGTCTTGTTGGTATTTTTTGCTGATTTTGCAAACAATTGTAGGAAGTGAACCTGCGTAGGTCAGTATAAAAATGAGCATTAAACTTTTTGGGAGAAAATTACTTTTTATTTTTTTTGTCTTCGTTTGTAAATGAAAAATTACCTAAAAATTAGAGAATGTACCTTACTAATGCCCAAGTAAGTGTGAAAAAACTCAACAATTGTATTTAATTAGAACACTTTTTTCACGGAAACGAAACAATTTCACGTATTCCTTCCTCTCTTCTGATAGAATAAGATGTTCTAGTCTTTGTTTATAGTACGAGTATTTACATTGTCTAGGCAGATGAAACATACCTTAAATTTTGTTTTACACTTTTGATTTTTTAGTTTTTTACAAAGCATAATGATTATAATTTTCCACTACTAGCATTTTTCCTAAAAATGCTTACTTTTTCAAGTAATTGCTAGACATTATTAATAGTGAAATAAGCAAATGCTAATATTGTCTAGCATCTACTTCCTACAACTAGCAAAAGCATTTGCTAGTCATGTCCCACTTGCATTTACTAAATTTTATTAAAGCATTTGCTTATAAAATAACTAGTAAAAGCTTTTGCTACCGTTTATTAATACTATACCCATTATTAAGAATACTAAGCTGGCTGAGAATATAAATACACGTAGTTAATCTATAAATTTAAAACATAGATCAGTGTGTTTAATTACTTGTGTGTACAAGTTTTTCAGGAAGTTATGCATTTTTTTGCGTGCTAAAAAATAATCGTTTTAAAAATATTCTAAACAGGTTTTCTTGCATAAAATTATTAACTTTTTAAAATAACAATTTTTTAATTTTACTCTGCCTTAACTTATGTTTACAATGAAACAAATGAAAATTTCTAAACGTGGTAGTAAAAATAATTCTCAAATTATTTTTCATATTTAAGAAAAATATAAGGAGCTTTTAGTTTTTTTTATGTAGTAAAATATTATAAATATCAGGTAGAAAGAGTTTGCTTTCGTTTTAATCGTTTAGCTAGATGTTTTTTCCAGGGAATTTTTTATACATTTTTACGAGTATTTAAGAGGTTACAAGCATGGCCAAATAAAGCTATTTGTGGAATATGGAGAATATTTATTAGGCTACTTTAGTGCTACATAAATTTGCAGTAAAACTACATGTTTTGATTCAATTACATTAATTAAACTGTACAGCTATTACTGTGCTTTTCTAAAATTATTTCGAATGGACTTGATTTAGAACTGCAAAGTACGACCATGACGATTTGACAACCTAAAATATTCAATTTCGTTTTACAAAATTGATTTAGGATAAAAAATATCTACAGCAGTGAAAGTTTCAAGAGACAAAGTGAAGTATCCTGAAGCGTAAAGTTTGAGGGGAAATTGTGTACGTGTCATAAAAAATATTAAATTCTTTTTAAATTGTCTCGATTCTTCAATCCATTCACACATATAAGCGGATCGGGTGAGTTCATCGCTCTACAAGAACAGATTATAATGACTGACAAAAAAATAACAAAAAAATACTTTCAAAATAATTTCATTGCCGTAATAACACCACAAGAATATTTCCATCAAAACACAACCCTGATACAGTAACATTGAAACAAACTTAAAACTCATTACTGATACCAAAGTCATTTGAAATAAAGAAACACAAACGATTATTACACCAATTATAAACTGAGCTGTGATGGAAAAAGTGAAAAGATTAGTCACTTCATCCGCAAACCTAAAATAATACAATGTTTTATATTAATAGTTATTAACGACATAAAGCCAACATGTACTAAATAATAGAGAATATTAAAGTTTGTAAAATCGGGGCAAAACCGAGATTTTAGTATCAATCGCCTCTATTATTTGGGCATCGAATGTGTATCATTTAGTAAGTCTAGTAAGTCTTTTGTATATAGCAACAACCATAACAACGTCCGTTAACGGTTTTTACGGCCTAGGCTGTTATCGCTGTCATAACAAACAGTACGGATATGGTCAAATAACAATCAAGTATTACGAAAATATATTAACAATTCCTATATATCTTACCGTATTATGGTTTTATAATGAATAACACACTCAATCAAATTCATGTTAGCTTTCTTTCGATCTCGAAGTGAATCAGTTTTGCACCCTTTAGTAAGATTTTTCAGAGAGTCATTAAGTAAACTAAGTTCCGCAGCAATAACCATGATAATACCCGACATGAAAGTATCCATTGCCACATCTGCCAACCCATTTATCCATGTTGTTAAAGTTTGATAAGCATACGTAATCTCATAAGCCGGAGATGTATCAGTTGAATAAGGGTACCAACCACTTAATGGCAACCTAAGTTTTTCATAACTTCCTCTATCAATAAACGGAGAAATACCCCATAAAGAACAAACAATTGTACAAGCCATGAAGAACGTTTTAGAAATTCGTTTCGACATTGTGATTTCCTTGACGAGAATGATGCGTTGTTCTATATTTTTCGGTTTAAAACCTATGCTATTCATGCTGTGGATCAGATTCCATACTCTTGGTCCGTGATTTATAAATGAGTACATTTTAAAACACTGTACTAAATTTGTCAAAAGTAGAAAAGATGCGTCTGTCATTCTTTCAATATCGCCGAAAGAATTTATCATATTGGCGATTTCACTTACTAGAGATAATCCAAAAGTTGTTCCCACAAATGTGACAGCATAAATTACATAAAAGATTTTCTTTTTTGAGTTTTTAGCAAATTCGGGTAAAAAGTATCCAAAAAAGTGCATACTATTTATGTTGAATATCACAAATTCTGTTAAATCTATGTCAGTGTTGTCCATTGTCGCTGCTGAACATTTATTAGTTCTAGTTAATTAGAAATTGTAATAACCTTAAAAAAAGTCTGTTTTTTGACTCACCTGATAATTATTTTTTTGTTCCAACTTGACTAAATATTAAAGCTTGACGTTAGAGCTTCAAATAGATTAATAAGCAGTTGATTGAATGTGGAATTACCTGTGTCAGTAGCATCAAATATCTTATTAATTATCAGATGGAGGCATTTGTCTTTGTTACTTTTCCTAATGTAAAATTTATTTTATTTGACAGCAGTAATTAAGAGTACTAATAGTATGCTTATCACATTAAATTATTATTCCACGCAATAATTTCTTTAAGACAATCATTTATAATGCAACATGCCTTAAATTACTGGATTATTTATGATTTGGGGAGCAGTTTTCATAGTAAATTGCTTAAAGTTTGTTAACTGTGAGTTTTAATTAACGTCTCTTGTACTGCTAAATAATACCTAATCAAAATTAAAATTGTATTGCTCTATGGTCAAACGGTAAACAAATCTCAACTGATTCCTTTACAGATAAAAACGGAGTTATGGTCCAATTAATTAACGTGATGATGCAGAAAGTTAAAAACAAGCGACAATTTCTTCTAAAAGTGGCAACTTATTCATCTATATTTTTAATTTTTCACGTAAATGTAAAACAGGAGACGTTGAATCATAAAGATGCTTAAATTTTTCGAGGCTTTCAACAAATGGTAGAAATTTGAAAATAAAGCATCCAGTTTGACTCACAAGAAAGGCATTGTCAGATATTTGCTAAAAGTCAACATCTTCTCCTAGAAGTAAGAGTGCTACCAGCACCGGTACATACAGGATGCGCCAGAACTCGCGCCCCAGAGAAAATTTTCAAGTAAGGTAAGATACCAGGAACATGAAAAAAATGTTTAAAAAATTCTATTTGTCACAAAATTTTTACATTTATTTTTTGACATTTGACATTTTTTTATATCTATTTAATGATACTGATGATCTTGTATATGTTTTTTTTACAATTATTTAGTAAAGGGACAAAAATTTTGCCAATAAAAACCACAAATAACATTGAACAGAGTTACAATTTAGGATACAGCTTCCTTGTTTCCTCTTTTAATAGCATATAGCAAAAAAACTTGGAAAATTATTTTTCCAACAGAAATAAATAGAGTCAATGTGCAAACTTTAAACCCTCATAACTTCGAAATTTTTATAGATAATTTTTTTTTACATTTTTTCCATGTTTCTGGTATGGCATTTTTCTCTGGGGCGCGAGTTCTGGCGCACCCTGTATATTGTAAATGCACAATAAACAAAGAAAGCATAAATCTTGTACAAAATTTTGTAGTTCTGTTGAGGAAAGAAACTCAAAATTTGTGTATTAAGTACACAGTAGAAGGAATAATTTCTCTATACATCTTCTATTAGCAACTGTTGTTTCTGAGAAATAACGCAAGGGATTAGATAGTTTTTATAGAATAGAATATTGTGCGTTATAAAAACTAAAAAAACGACAAACTTAAACTTATATAAATTTAAGAATTATTGTAGGGTAAGTAGATAATATGATGGTTTTATTATCGGGGTTTAAGAGAAAATTTGTGTTTTACCTACAAATAAAGCAAAGTTGGTTTAAGTAATCACGAAATTACTTGTTCTGTTTTTGAGAAAATTTCTAATTAAAAAAAATTAAATAAATTAATATTTAAGTTTTGTTTTAAGAATTTAACACTGAAATTTAGCACTCCCTACTTATCGCAAGCACAAACACAAGACTTTTTATTCTTAAAATTAAAGTAATGCGCTTTTCACTTGTTTTATTCTAAACTTAAAATACCTGTTTCAGTACGTGTATTTTAGAAGCAGGAATTAGATTCATTACAACACGTAATAAATACATTCTTATTTGCATGTTACGTAGGATGGAAATCCAAACCCCTAAGATACTTGTGACTAGTAATTACTACATTAGAGGGTGGGTAACTAATTGATTATTTCTAGCGTTTGCAACAAAACATAGAATATTAAAAATATTTCCTTCGAAACAAAGAAATTGTTTCCTAGATGAATAATCTTTTTTAAATATTAAAGACCATTACAGAAAATTAAGTTCAAAATAAATCACAATGAATTTGGACATACCGTTTTTTGTCTCCCAGATAAAAGTTTAACCATTAAATACGAGTTTAAAAAATGTTCTGTTTAAGAATAAAATACACTGGCACTGCCGTAATTTAAAAATAAAATCTGCATGTTCAACATTATTTGATTTATTTATCTGTCTATATACAACAATGTTACAAAAAATCATTAAATGTTAACCAGGGGGCCACCCAAGTTGACGCCCTCCTAGTATGTGTATATGTAAATGATAAACCGATTGACAGCCCTGTTTTCCATTATTTATCACCAACCTATAGCCATTTGGAAGACGTTCTTTTGCCAATTTCTGAGCTCTGACAATTAATTCTGCCATTATCTAAAATAAACAATTAATTTCTTTGTTAGCCCTCAATTAATTATCTACGTCTCTATCATCCTCTTTAATTGCATCAAGCATAGGAATTCGCTGCTTTGGAATCACCAAAAAATGTACAGGTGCTTGAGGATTTACATCATTAAAAGCCAAACATTTATCATCTTCATAAATTATATCTGCGGGGATTTCTTTTGAGATGATTTTGTCAAAAACTGTTGTTTTTTGTTTGTCCTTTGATGCAGTTTGTGCTTTTTCAACCTCTGACGATTTCTGGAAGTTCATTTTAGGTTAGGTCGTATTTCTGGCGATTTCTAACGTACATATCTGATAAAATTAACAACTGGAGGTATAAGCTGCTTACGATAAAAAAAAAATTGTGAATGAGTTAATATTTTTCTCAAAATCATTATTGTCTTGCAATTTACAAGTTATTGCTGTTTAAACTGATTTGAGGTTAGGTTGTTGACATCTATTTATGACTTTGTGAGTAATTATGACAGACAATTTTTAGACTTCAACTTCAAATAGTATATTAAAGAACAAGTTTTATAAGGGTTGATTTGGCGCACGAACCCCAAGTTAGAAAACGAGCCGTAGGCGAGTTTTCCATGGGATGAGTGCGCCAATGCCATTATAAAAAGAGTATTTTATGCTATTTTTTCTAACTTGCGCCCCCTTTTTTCTTATTTTAATTAAAAAAATATATTTTTGTCGTCTAGAAAATTTTGTGTTAGTTGGTGTCGGTTGGTGACACTTGGCGACCACCTGATTTTTTGAATCATTTCTGCCATCTGTCATTAAAAATAAAATTTACAAATTATTAGTTATTAGTYTTACAACATAATAATAATAAATAAAGTATGAGCAAACAGAATTTAGTTTGCACTCCGCCCGAAATTCGCGAAATTGCCGAAGCAACAACGCAAAATTTGTAACCTGACCTGGAAATTGATGTAAAGTAACATTCTCTTTCTCCCCTTGTCCACAGTTTAGAACAATCAATAGGTACTTGATACTTGGCATTAGGTATAATGTACGGAGAACTACATATGTACTAGGAGACGAAACGAGATACAAAATTGCTCGGTTTTTTGAACCCAAAAAAAATAGTACCTACGGCGCGGAGGAGTAGAGCGTTTTACCGTCTCAGTTTCAAATCGTTTTAAATTAATTTAAAATTAACCAGTGTACTAATTGCTTGAAAAAAAAATGCAAAAATGTTGAGCTTTACATTCTTAATAAGTTGTGAAAAACGAACGACTAAATTTTTCACGAGAAATATGAGGAAAAAAAATATTTAAAATCTGTGCTCCATTTCATGTTTTTCAAAAAGCTGCGAAGACGTTTGAAGATACAAGAAAAATGCAAGAAAGAAAGTTGTAGAAAATAAATTATTTTAGTAAAAATTTCGCGAGACCATACCTCTATCTTTAATGGTTTAGGCCTCAAAGACGTTCAAAGCCGCTCAAGCGACGGATTCCTTTCATTTTTACTGGTGATTCACTGCCAGAGGAAATTTAAACCTATTAAACCGATGAAGATAGAAATATGATCTCGCGAACTTTTTGTAGCAAATTTTATTCTCTACGATTTTGTTTGTTATATTGACTGCTGAAAGATTATTTATTCTTCGACTTTGTCAAAATTTACGGTTTTTCTCCCGTAGGTATAAGGAAGTTTTGACAACTGTTTAGCATTTCTCAATACGAAACGTCAGATTATTTTTAACAGAAGCAAGTTTAAGCCTTGTTGAATCTACTTCGAAGAATAAAATGACGTATTCAACTCGTTTGAGTGTAAATCGGACGCTTTATTCCACCTCGTGGATGATAAACCACTCGTTACATTTGTAGTTTAAAAATCCACTCGGTGAAATAATGATTCCGATTTACATTCAAACTCGTAGAATTCCAACAAACATAAATAGTCAAAGTGCAAAATTTAAGCTCCCATAATTTCGAAATTCTTATAGATATTTTTTTTTTAACATTTTCAAGTTCCTGGTAGAATCTTACCTTACATTTTTCTCTGGGCTGCGAGTTCTGAATAACAACGCTTCGAAAGAAACATCACGTCAGTATCTGAATTTGTGTTGAGATTTTCGAAAATGTGTATTAATTTAACTACCTAATAGATGTCTAGTGCTGTTATTATGTGCAAAATGTCGAATGCTGATAATTTACAATGTACCTCTCCAGAAATTGCTAAAGCAGTAAAAGAGGCAAGAAAAAAACAACACTGGTAAATGTTATGGTAAAAGTAAAAACGAAAAAACAGATTTTTATTCCATGCCTGAAAGAGTAAAACTTTTACTTGTGACATTTAGTAACAAAAATACCTAGTTACTTTTGTGACGTTTACTGATAAAATAAATAATCTAAAATAAATAGTCGGTAATAAATAAAGTATTAATCGCACACAGATTTTAGGGCAAAATACATATCTGACTTACCTTATTAGAAGTGCATTAAATGTAATTATTATCTTAAATATTGTACATACTAATGACCAACAATGTTAAGCAACGATATAAACAAGTTTAATTCAATTTTATTAAAAAGAATAACTCTATTGGAATTAATTGCGCAAAATATACAGTTAAAAAAGCTTTATCTTATGAAGGAAGTGACATTAAACTTTTATATTCAAGAAGTTTTTAAACAAGTCTAAGCCCAACCCAATGGCATCACAAAGTTCGAGTTCAATCATTATAAGCCTTTGATGTAAAATTAATCTAATTCCATCCTTAATTACAAAGGGATTCATTTTAATTTTTCAAAAAAAGAAAGAAATTGTTATATAAACCCGAACTTTGGTGAGTCCGACAAATTTACACCATGAACGACATAATTGAACAAAGTTTTGGTTCTATATTGTTCATATTGCAAATTCTGCGACTTTATCCTTCTCGACGTTACACAAGACTACATCAACTACAAGCATGCATTATGTACATTTTTTTCATAATTTTATTTCCAATTCCAACCATTTACAATTATATTATCCAAGAAAATTTCGATTTATTACAATTTAATTACACTGCAACATATTTGTCGGAAACTGTGTGTTTCATCACCAAACTTTTACCTTTCATCACAAATGCCCGTCGAATGAAAAAATGTATTAATTATTTTGGGGCCAGCTATTTCCAAGAAATATTACAAGAAAACACCTCGAAGAAAATCATGACAAACTGCATCAATATTTGCCGAAGAAATTCTACAATGTTTCTCTATGGAGTCATTTGTGGTGTGATAAGTTTCATTACTAAACCTCTTTTCTGGAGTGGTTACAAATTTCCACTTGATATGTGGCTGCCATATGATGCCACTGTTGGTCCAGGAGTTTACTACTCAACATATTTATTTCTTTCAATTGGTATTTTAAAAACAATTTTTTTTTTTTAAAATAAAAATTGTTTTAGCAATTTCCTATTGTGCATTTACTGGACCCTTGATTGACCCTCTCATAGGTGGTTTGGTCTGTCATGCTGCAGGGCAATTAAAGATTTTAAAAGAAAATCTTAAGCATCTTAAGGAATACACAGAGACTAAAATTAAACATGACAACAATAAAGCAGGTGACCAAATTATGTATGAAAAAATTCGACAATGCATTAATCACCACAATGCAATATTAACGTATATTTTTGTATATTAACTTTAATTAACTTTATTCACTTTGTGACTTTACAGATTTGTAAAAGAATTCGAAGATTGTTTTTCATTGGTGGTCTTCAGCCAGTTTGCTGGAAGTATGGTGGGGTTTTGTTTTTGTTGTTTGCAGTTAAGTATGGTAAAGTATTTTAAATTAAACATTTCACTTTCAATATCAATAACAATGTTAGGTAAATCTTGTTAGTATGAGCGCTCTTTCATCCACATTATATAGTTGTGTTGTTTTGGGCCAAATTTATTTTTACTGTTACTACGGATCAAGATTGTATGAAGAAGTATTTATTGTGGCTTTTATGTTTTACCCCAATACGATGTTCCTTACTTTTAGAACAATAGTCTGACAAATGGTATTTACATGGGCCAGTGGTATGAATATAATGGAAAGTCGAAAAAGGCTTTAATAATTCTAATGGAACGTTCAAAAGTGCCTATGCTTATTATAGCAGGAAAAATATTACCCATGAATTTAGAAACTTTTACAGGGGTAATTTCCTACATTTTTTTTATTAAAATATTAATGTGTTATAATAATAAGTATTTGATGTTTTAGTTGTTGAAGAAAACCTACTCGTTGCTTGCAGTTTTAAAAAATTATCAAGAATAATCCACACCTCTTAAGAAAATAATAGTTACACACACCCAAACTTATATGAAATCACATGGTATTTCTTGAAAACAGTTTGAATGGCAGCCTTTTGCGTATTGTTTCAACTGAAACATTAACACCGGTAGCTTGAATAAGATATTTTTAAAGCTCTTTTAACGATTTGGCATGAAAAACGGTCTTGCTACTCGGACGTTACTCTTCTTGAGTGTGGCCGTTGAATATGTACAATAGTGTACTCACTCAACGGTGTGGCCGATTTTAAGTACATACCTTGCATATGTTTTTTTTAAATAATACCCTGTGTACACGCCACTTCTAACGCTACTTCTTTTTACGAGATGCTTTGCTCCTCAAAGATTTTCTCTTGTAGCATTGTTTTTCTTTTCTTTTTTTAATTCCCTTTTATAGACGTGAGAGAAATTGTTAAGCAATCACTGCGAGTTTTAGAGGTGTCTTTCAAGTAACAACGCTTTCATTTCATCATCATTTCGAGAAGCACAAGGGGGTATCACCACCGAGGTTTGTATGCTATTTTATTCACAATCACATTATTTTCAGTCAAAAATTTGAATAAAATAAAATTCTAACAAAGTTAAGGTCCAAACGTGGTAGGCTATCCAAATGACGTTTGATTTTTGACATTTCAGAAATGTTAAAGAAAATATTGAAATAATAATGTGTAAATCTGATTTAAAGTCGTCGAAATAAAGCAATGTACTCCCCCAGAATTAAGAGAAACTGCTACAAAAGCAATTGAATACTAATTTAGTAAAATATTATGCGTAACTTGACGATTTAAAAGAAAAAAATTCCGGTATTTTCGTAATTTTAGCGTTGGCAATCCTGCATATTACCATTTATTAGAGATTATTCCATCATATCATATGTGGTGGCGAACTGACAGTGACAAAAAAGACACTTGGAGTGCACCCACTTGGTTAAGATAAAAGAATACATGGGCGTACTTTTTTTTCTCTAAAAATTTTGAAAACAAAGATTGTTAGGGATATCATTTTTGAAAATGCTTTTCATGCGTTAACAATTTAATAATTTGTTCATCATTCTTCATCTTATGTATCTACTTATTATATTTTTTTAAAGAATAACAGTGGTTTTGAAGTACTATTTCATACGACGCCTATGAACAATATTTTTTTTAATAGTAAACATATGTTTAGCGTCAAAATTCAGTCCTTTTTGACAACGTCAGTTCGCCACCAGATTTGGAATAAGCTCTACTCTTCATGAGAAATATGACATGTTTCCCAACCTTAAAAAGGTTAGTAATCGGCATATTACATTAGTGATTGTGAATAAAACAATATTCTATAGGCCGATGCGTTAGCATTTTTTACAAAAAGTGTTTTTTGTGATTGATGTAAAGATCGCGATATTTACCGGTAGACCTAACGATTCGTTTTAGGGTTTTGGTATTTATTACAAAATATTAATTCTTAACTAATTCGACAAGTACCATGTAATAAAACACTACTGTTTTCAAATTATTAATAAATATATTTTGCCTAAAAATACCTCCTAGTTCATTGCTTTTACCACTAGAGGCGTTGTCAGTACCGCTACTGTCCAGGAAAGAGGGAAAGGGGTGAAAGGGTCTCTGCCACTGAAATTGTATAACGTATTGAATATTGATATAAATGGCTTCCTATGCTGAGCTTGCATAGATTGTGTGATGCATACAGTTGGAGACAAAATACGTTGGTCGTCACTTTTATGACACTTTAATGTAATGCAAGCTTTAAAGTTAAAATGAATGACAATTTCAAATTAATGACAGCTATTATATAGGATGTTTCACGTAATTTTACAAGGCTTGCGCCTGTAATAAGATGCAATCAATAATACATATTCCGATACGAACTGGATTACAAATTTTGAAAAATTGGATAATCTTCTCTTTTAAAAATTACAACATTTTTAGTTAGTTAGTGATTAAGATAGATAAACTACAATCATATTCATGCCGTCTCTTGATAGAACAAATGATAATTGTCTCTGAAAAACTACAGTTTATGACTATTAATGAAACAGTGATTAGTTTGACAACTACTGTCATGGGTTTCTAAAAATTAAATAATTAAATGTGTATTTTTTGTATCTAGTGTTTTGTGAATTTTGTATATTTGGGTGCGTACATTAGGTGCAAGCCTCGTAAAGTTATGTGAAACACCCTGTATTTTCCTATCAAAAATATGTACATACAACTTGTCAACTTTGGTTGACAGTAGCTAAAAATAAAAATTAACACCATTATTTACATCAACACTTTCGCTTGTTTATACAAGGTGAAAATAATATCTATACGCATAAACTTAGGGAATGATAGTTTAGGCCAAATAATAATATGTAGTGAAAAAATTTTTAGTAAAATAGTATACAAACCTTGGGGGTCGTTGTTTCATCGTACCTCTGCTAATTGCTTACTGCGCCGCTTTGCGCCTTGGTAATGAAGCATCTCCCACCTTGGTATGGAGGTAATCTACTATTTTTATAATGTTGTAATTTTGAAAATCTATTACTTTTGAAACATGTGTTTGCAATCCCAAAGAGAATATTTAATTTAGGATGATTTATTCAAAGTACATTTGTATTCAAAAGAAAAGAGTAGAGTAGGGGACACGGAAAACTGGGCAGATGTGTCATTCAGTTGTCAAAATTTCTAAACTATACCTTAGGTAGTCATAACCAAGCTTTTAATGTTTGGCATATTTGTCTTTTTGACACTGACAAAGTCGAAGTTTTTGGAATCCCCAAAGCCACCGAGGCCTGCCGCTGCCACATCCCGCTTTGAATAAGAGCTATTGCTCGAGATTTATTAAAAACTGATACAACTGGCATTTTGTAAAAATTGATGTAAGTCAAAGTTAATTTGACAGTTTTTTTAATATCAATCATAATGACAGTAAAGGTGCATTTACACTGACATTTTTTTAAATGACAAGAAAAGACTGCCCAGGATTCCCAACTGTACCACTGCTGTGTCCAATTTTGGCAATTTTTCGTTAAAGTAAACGGAGTTTTTTCTAACTGTTACTTAGAGAACTAAATGAAACTTCTACAATAAGTAACAGAACTTAATAGCCTATATTTAATTTACGACCAAATACATCTTTTCTGGCTGCTCCTAACGGCGATTAATTTTAAAAACAGAAATCTCAGGTGTAATTCTTGTGCAACTGACCTAATCGACCAACCTCCTTCTAGTTTTGTGACATTGTGAGTTCTTATCACTTCTGTTGTGTGCGGAGGCATTATATTGATAGTGACACATAAATTCTAAAATTTTTAAAATAAACCTTAGAAACAGCCTGAAAATTATCCCATTTACACGGTGAAATAGTAAGTGTATGCTTTTCTTTTAAATAGAAGTGTATCTTGTATTAAAAGAATTAAAAAGGTTCTACACACTGAAATATAGGAGTAAGAAAGAACGTTTCTTTTCAAGCGGTCGAAAATTACACTTTTGTGTATCTCTAACGGTTCAAGGGGCTTTTTTGTAACCGGAGTTGAAATACTTCAAGTCCTAGGAGTTGATAATAATGTATACTTTAGAAAAAAACAAGTTTATAATTGAAGTATATTTTCGAAGTGGACGCTTAGTAAACAGCGAATGGCAGTATTCAAATTCTGAATGCAAAGCACCATTTCGACAAAGGTTTCCTGATAAAGTTATTGAAGAAACACCACCATCTTCACCAAATTGTGGAGAGATTTCACAGGACAGGAGGCGTAATGAAGAGGAAATTGACTAGAAGGCCACAAACTGATCAAAATGTCATTGATCAAGTCGAAGCACTTGTTGAAGAGAATCCAAATTCTTCAATACGTCGTTTGTCAGTACTGCTACAAAAATTCTGAAAAAAACGTTTACGCATGCATCCATATAAAGTCTCGGTAGGTAGTTCAAGAAATCTTACCAAGAGATCACATTAATCGTGTGCAATATTGCAATTTTTTCCAGCAGAACTTAAATAACAACGACGTTCTCGATCTGAGTTTCTTGACGGACGAAGCTTGGTTTCATTTAAACGGATATGTCAACAAACAAAACTATAGAACATGGTCTGTAGTTAACCCTGAATTTCATTCAGGTTCCATTACACCCACAAAAGAGTGGGATATGGCTAGCTGTATCACGTCGTCGAATAATAGGGCCCATATTTTTTCACAACACAATCAATGGGCTACGTTCTGCGTTATGAGATGCCATTTTTAGAACAAGTGCATCCTGACGAATTTGAATATGGAACAAGATGGAACTACGGCTCATACTACTCAGGAAAATTTAGGTTTCCTCGAATAGTTTTTCCCTGGTCGAGTAGTGAGCAGAGGATCTGGGCCAGCCCGATCACCAGATCTAACGCCATTAGATTTTTCGATTTGCGGCTATCTAAAAAACGAGGTTTACAAAGAAAGGATTGATAATCTGGATCAACTAATGGCAAGGATTACCTTGAAATGCAATGAAATAACAGAAGAGACATTGCAGCACATTTTTAAACAACATGAAACGTCGTGTGAATTTATGTATGCGGGAAAATGGTGCCCACTTCGAACACTCATTATAAAATTAAATTTAGTCTTTAACAGCCCTTTTCATAGCCATAATAAACTGTTATTTAAAAAAAGGCTTATTTTTAATTAATTAAATCGTGACATCAACTAAAAGGTAGGTTAGGTATCAAAACTGCAAGGCGCATATGCAAGTTCCCTCAAACCAGTCAAGCCGCCCTAAATTTAAAAAATAAATAAATAAGCAGATGAGAAGTTTGCTTTATTCCTTTCTCTTCATCCTAATTAATCAAATTTAATATTTTGAGCATCGCCATCAAAGAAGGCGATGATTTTGAGTTAAAACAAGTAGGTACCCCTATTTTCGTAAAGCAGGACTTTTTATTTTACATGAAAATTTCACAGCTGGCTAGTAGAAAACCATTTATATGTATATCCCCTAACCACGTGTATCTTCAGGTTATAAATACCTATTACCTTTCAGCATTTTTTCACGCAATTTTCTATATTTCTTTTCGCAAGTACGGTTTAAAATATCTAGGTAAGTAATACAAAAAAAGTGTGATAATAACAAATTTAGCAAGATATGTATAGCAGTTTTATTATATTTTTAATTTTTAAACTTTTTTAATAAATTCGAAAAAAAACTTGTACTGTTTTAAGTAATACGTTTATAACTTTGGTTTTGTACTCAATGTTAAAGAGTGCTTTTATCAACTAATTTCAGTAGATAAAGCAATTTTTTATCGTCTAGTGAAATAAAGTAATTTTTATCTACTGTTTTTATTCAAGAAATTCTGGTAGGTGAGTACCAAATAAAACGAAATATTATACACGACGATAAAGATTGTTTATCTACTCGTGAAAAAAGTCCACTTGTGACTTCGTCTCATAACTCATAAACTTAACCTTTTCACTCGTAGATAAACAATTTCTTTATCGTCTTGTATAATAAATAACTATTTTCTTCTATTTATTTATTTTTTCTCACACTGCTTTCAAAGTGTTAAAATGATATCAAAATGGCATTAAAACCATCAACTTCCAAGACATCGAAGAAATTTTTCTCTGGGCGCGAATTCTGACAAATCCTGTATAATAATTTAACATATTTATCACTAAACTAAAAAATTATACAATCAGTGGATATATAAACTTGAGTGCTTCATCTTTGGTTTTTCAAAACTGCCAACAGTGAGTATGAGCGTTGTAATATCTAAAAACTAGTACTATAACTTTAGGCTTAAATTTTTGTTACATTTACTTACAGTTGTAAAAGTTACTAGTGATAAATGTAAAACTTTCCCTGCACTTACAATACTCGGTTTCTTAGTACGTTCCATCAAAATTATTAATGATTTTCTTGATTTGACGTCATATTTGTACCAATTTCCCATATATACTGCGTCATTTAAACTATTGCTCTAAAACATAAACTATTGTTTAAAAAGTTTACTAAATTTACTTACTTCTTCATAAAGAATAGTTCCATAATAACAGTAGAAATAAATCTGTACGACCACACAAACCATATAAATAATTGCTTGTAAGAACTCATAACTCAACGGTTCTAGCTAAAAATTAGGAATATTATAATTTGCGTTACAATTGAACGTACCTACTTACAAAACTGACTTGAAAAATTAAAAAACCCAAGATCAAAATACTTAGCAAGAATTGATTAAATACAATAAAAGAGAAGTTGGTTTCATACATTTCCACAAACCTACAAAACAATTTACCTCGTGATTAGTTGTCATTGTTGAGTAGAAAATAATTTCTTACTGTAAAATTGCATTGTGATGTTTGATGCAATTCTGTATCTTTTTATAAAACAATTTGGATTTAAATATTTGATTCGAGGATACTTTCAACTTCTTGTCTCCAAAATCTTCTTTTGTGTATTCATAAAGATATTGAAGATTATCTTTAAGAACTTTAAAATGACCAGCAGCCAAACAAATAAGACCCGCAATTAGTGTGTCCATCGCACTATTAGTAACACAGCCATAAACAACCCCTTTAAATTAGATACAATAAAAGGAAATATGGAAATTTTTGAATTTCTATACCTGAAGACACAAACACATATAATATATAATATTTTTTTATATCTGTTTTAGGATCAAAGGGCAACCAAATATCAACTGGAAAATTATATTCCCCGAACAGGAAAGGTTTTGTAGCCCAAATTAAAACTGCTGTAGTCATAAATATCACAAACATCTTCGAGTTTCTATTGCAAATTTTACTGTGTGTTCTGATGATTGCTTTCTGATTTTCCCTCAATGTAACAAATTGCGGATTTTCAAAATAACGTACGCATTTCTCGATTTGTCTTCTTTTGGTTAGCAAAGGCCACAATTTAGGTCCGTAACACCACATTCCAGCAACAACAAAAGCATCGTCTGCCATTCTTTTTGTAGTAATATTTGTTTCCAAAAAAATATATAAGAGACCGAACACCGGGACAGTGAACGTTACATTGCTACACAAAACATATGACACCACTTTGTGCAAGAATTTTGCTTTTTGTCGATTGTATAAGAAACATATTTCTAAAACACGTAAACTTATACCAAAACTGTCTTGAATTATATTTGACATTGTAAGAACTTTTGGTAATTAAAGAATAGAGTAATCAAACATCAAAAATTCGTTTATATAGTGATTCGTAATTTTTTATTTAATGTCCCTGTAATTAAAGCAGACTCAATTAATTTTACATCAAAGGGCTTTAAAAGTTTGGAATAAAGAAAACTTAGAGTAAAGGTAGGCATGTAGATCTTCAATTAAACGATGTTGTGAGCACAAGAAAGCAACCCTATTGAGTCTTATAAATAATTTACTGTTAAAAACAATTATTGGTTGGGGTGAGTTGAACAAAAAACACAAATGCGCACATCACTGCGACTTGTCGGTTCTCATTAAAACTCACTGGAACAAGAATTAAACTTCACAATATTCAGAAAAAAAAAATCTTCAGTGACCAGTTTTACTTCAAAGCAAATTTCGTTTTTTTGTAATAATGTTCCACGAGTAATAATGAGCCTGAAATGTTTTTTTAACCAAACTAACATATTACTTTCCAAAAATAACGTAGATATTAATAAATTAAACATAGTGACCAAACAGCACTTCAACGAAAAGACCGGTAAGATTCTCATTTATAGAGAATGTTTAAAAAACGCTTCGCAGACTACACGTTTCTATCAAGCGCGATATTCAAATAGACAAACTCCCTAAAATTGGAGTAGTCATTTTGACTGACCGAAATTTGTCAAAAATAAAAATACGATTTCTATGTTTAACTAATTAAAATGAAATGTATTTTAATATCCACCTTAAATGTAATGTTGGTTGCTTCGAAAAAATTTTCAGGCTCATTATTACTCGTGGGACAACCTGTACGTAATATGCGTTGTCTTTTTTATTGTTGTATTTTAATATTTGTTAGAATAAAACCATAAGAAAAAACTTGTAGCCTAATTCTCCTGTAATTTTAATAATTATTTACACTTTGTGAAAAGCATGCTTTCATCGAATTTATAAATAATAATAATTATTGTAAAATTTTTAAATATTTTTTATTTAATTAAAAAAGTATTTTGTATAACTATTGTCATTATTATTAATGTATTATTTATTGCGGTTAAAAAGCAATTTACAAAAACATGTTTCGTACCATGGGTGCCGAAATAACTGTAAAAAAATACTAGAATAGTTAATGTAAATACACCAAAATATACATATATACATATACAATAAAAAGTGTAAAAAAAATACTAGTACATGTTTAAAGTTGCAAAATGCTTCAAGTATTTGAGTTTTGAAAAATAATATACTACTGTTAAATTCGAAAAAAAAAACGGAAAAAATGAAAAAAAATAACTTTTAAAAATTTGCATGAATGTTCGTAAATCGAGTGTTATAGTAGGGTATGCAAAAGCTGAATGGTCTCAAAAATTAGTCAGTATTGTATCTTGATTTTTTTCTAAATTTTGAAAATATGGGTGTTTCACATAATTTTACGAGGCCTGCGCCTATAAGATGCAATCAATAATACATATTCCTCTACGAACTGGATTACAAGTTTTGAAAAATTTTTGAAAAATAATCTCCCTAGTTTGTTCACCCTTTAAAAAATTACAACGTTTTTGGTTAGTTAGTGTAAACTATAACAAATGATAATTGTTTCTGAAAAACTGCAGTTTATGACTATTAATGCAACAGTGATTAGTTTGACAACTACTGTCATGGGTTTCCAAATATGAAATAATTATATGTGTATTTTTTGTATCCAGTGTTTTGTGACTTTTGTATATTTGGGTGGGTACATTAGGCGCAAGCCTCGTAAAGTTGTGTGAAACACCCTGTATATAATATAAAAAAAATCGTTTTTTAATGCGAAATTGTAAAAAAAGTTGAAATAGCTGTTTTAGGGACTCATTTGAGTCCCTAAAATGAGTCTTTTCCGAACTCAATAAAATAGTACGCAAAATGGTTATTTTGCGTACTCAGTCCCCAAAAACAGTTTTTGCGGACTAAAAAATTAAATTGGTAACGAAATTTTTTTAATTAGTAAGAGGTGTCAATTCGTGTTTTAAGAGCTTTAACAAAAAAATCTTGTATGCACCACGTACGCAAATGGTTTTAGGTGACTCCTCTCATTAAAAACTTGGCTCCAACGTCGCCTCGTCATTAATTAATAATTACGATTCGTCCCCTAAAACCTTATTTTGCGTACTTGATACATAAATATCTATTTAGGTACTTAGTCCCCAAAAACAGTTTTTTCGGACTAAAAAATAAAATTGGTGGCGAAATTGCTATTCCAGACTCGATTTCACCTCATCCAGAAACAGCAACAATTCGTCCGCAAAAACTATGTTTTAAGTACTTGTTGTGAAAAAGAGGCACAACATCATACATCGAGCAAACTGCAGACCGGTTTCGCCCTTTTGGGGCTCATCAGTGCAGTGTAGCTCGATGTGTGATGTGGCCTCGGGAGTCTTAAAGCGACTACGCCGGTGAAGATGAGACAGTGGTAGCGCAGAGCGCCACCTGTCGGTGTGTGGAGAATCCAGACCTCTAAACACCGGGGGCTGGGAATTTGCAAAGCAAATCTCCCAAAAACGCCCACCGGGAGAGGTAAACCGACATCAGCCAAAACAGCTACTCCTCGGGCAAATACCCCGCCAGGCGCTGAATTACATGACCAATGCCGGCTCCCCCACATCAACTGGACAATTATGCCCAAATCTTGATGTGAAAAAGAGGCACAACATCATACATCGAGCAAACTGCAGACCGGTTTCGCCCTTTTGGGGCTCATCAGTGCAGTGTAGCTCGATGTGTGAGGTGGCGCTCTGCGCTACCACTGTCTCATCTTCACCGGCGTAGTCGCTTTAAGACTCCCGAGGCCACATCACACATCGAGCTACACTGCACTGATGAGCCCCAAAAGGGCGAAACCGGTCTGCAGTTTGCTCGATGTATGATGTTGTGCCTCTTTTTCACATCAAGATTTGGGCATAATTGTCCAGTTGATGTGGGGGAGCCGGCATTGGTCATGTAATTCAGCGCCTGGCGGGGTATTTGCCCGAGGAGTAGCTGTTTTGGCTGATGTCGGTTTACCTCTCCCGGTGGGCGTTTTTGGGAGATTTGCTTTGCAAATTCCCAGCCCCCGGTGTTTAGAGGTCTGGATTCTCCACACACCGACAGGTGGCGCTCTGCGCTACCACTGTCTCATCTTTAAGTACTTGTAACAAAAATAACTATTTCGGGAGCGTATGCACAAAAAAATGTTTTATTAAATTATGATGAAGATTACACAATGTTCAGAAACGATTAATTCTTTTAATTTTTTTGTAAAAGTTTATCAATCGGTCCGAATACTTAAACGGTTTGATGGATCGATTTAAAAAAACTTACAGAGCTATTATAGGTATGTACATACGTACATTAAACTGTAAAAAAACCTAAACACATTAGTCTTCTCATCAGTATTTGTGAATATGCGGTAGATTTACTAAAGGCAACAAATAGTTACATTTTTCTTTCTTCTTTAAATCATTGTTGAGGGTGATTTGAAAAAAAATGTACTAGGGTTGTTTGATAAATGTGGTAAAATTCCCAGTTAAAGAAAAAAAAAATATTAACAATAATTTTTATTTTTCAATATGATCTTCATTAAGATCTATGCACTCATCCAACAACTTTCTAATTTTTAAACCCATAAGAAAAAAAAAAAGATTTTTCAAGTGCTGCAAAATATTCATTCACCTTAGTATGGTGTCTTTGTTTGAATGAAATCTCTCTTCACCAAGCAAAATTTTTAGATTTGGATGTAGGTAGAAGTCACACGGTGCTAAATCTGGCGAGTAGAGTGAATTCGGAACTAATTCAAATAATAATTCAGCGAGTGCTGAAATCTCCCTTCGAGTACGCATTTGGTGACCGTCAACACTCGCGGCACCCATCTTTTTTTTTCATATGCAATTTTTCATGAAAGACAAAGTGTACCCGTTTAGTAGAGATGCCTACAATTTCAGTAACGTCCCTAAGTTCCACTCGGCGGTCTTGCAAGACAATTTTGTGGATTTTTTCCACAATTTGTGAAGTCGGGACGTCGACAGGGCGCTCACAGCGCGCTTCATCTTGGGTGGATATTTGACCCCGTTTAAATTCGTTTATCCAGAAATAGATAGTTTTCAACGAAGTCTCCAAGTACTTCTTCTAGTTCTTTTTTACCTGAGCGGCAGTCCATTTTGTAAATAAAAAGGTTTTATCACAGCGCGAAATTCGTTTTTCTCGATTCTCGAAATTTGTTCAAACAACTTATTTTTAAAATTCTCTAACTCTTCAACCAGGCGTCACTTTTTGTTGAAACTATGAGAGACTTAATCTGAAAGATGACAAATCTCACTTGCGGTTCGCCAAATTAATTGACGCACGTGGTCATAGTTTTTTACAAGAGATATCAAACAACCCTCGTATGTGGATTTATTTCAGTTTTTGGAACTATCGTTACACATTCTTTCTGCGGTCATTGGTTGCTGAGATATTGATGATCAAAGACAAGACTTCTTTTTCATTAAAAATCAGATATCTCATCAACAAATTGACGTGTACAGGGAATATAAAAGAAGCAAATTAAAGCTGAATGAACAAGCGGTCCGGCTCATGCATTGATTTTACTAATAAAAATTTCTCAGAGTCCGTGGACCAATAAAAAAAGAATAAAAAAATGAACAATTTTCTTCCCGAGATATTTTTTAGTATTTTTTGCCAAAAGATCTCAAGACTAGATACTTGAAGCTTTGAAATGTTTTTTTTTTTAATTAGATCCAACTATTTTTATTAAAATACAGTTTTTCAAAGATCACCAAAAAATTTAAGAAATTTTGTCGTTTCCTTAATCTTTTAGAATAGGAAGTGAATGTATACACAGTGAGGATTTTATTTCGCCGAACATGAGCACTATTAACTTTATATTCATAATTGAACAACACACAATTGAACACATAATTCAAATAAATCATGTCATGCATTACAAGCAATTACAACATATCCAAGCAATCCTAACGACAATAATGTTTGCTATAAGTAATGACTAGAGAGAGTTCCTATACATATTACAAGATACTTATTCAAATATAGGGGAACTCTATCCCTGACAATAATGTATTGACACAAATATTTGAAAACTGAACATGGAACCACATGTAACGTAAGTATAAAGTTTTGGAAATTTTTTAGATGGTTTTTATTTCAGAACAAAATATTTCTGTACCAACAATTTATTGGACCATAAAGGAATTTGAAGAGGGTGTACCCTGTGTTAATTAGCTCAAAAGTGGACGCCCCAAAATTTTGAGGAACAAAGAATGATTGAAGCCGTTAAAAACAAAGTTGTAACAACGCCACTTTTAACAACACAAAGCACAGTTCAAAGTGCAGATATAACCCAGCAAAGAAAACGCTGACACAATGACCTAATTAGTAAGTGACGGTAAAAAAAAGTAGGTACCAATGGAAAAATTGCCTTTTTGCAAAGATTTTTTTATCAAGAATTAGCTTGTATTTTGTTTCCACGATTTTATGTGAGATGTGTGCACTAGTTGTATTCCAAACGTTCTCGAAAATTTCACAAAAAATCGTAATGGACCACTGTCTTAGTATTTCTAGATGTGCTTCGAGCAATGTCTTGTCAATTATCAAAATATTATGATAGATTTAGGATACTATTGTCGGTTTATAAAAGCAGATAATAATTTTTTATCACTTTAAAAATAGTCACTTCAATTAAGCAAAAATTTTTTTTAGTAATTCTTTATTATCCTAAGAGTTTGGCTGTCTAACTTTAAAGTGTAATTACTGTAATTAGTACTACACCTAGTGTTTCACAATGGCGACCTTGTTTTCTTTCATCTAGTTTTGCAAATAAGTTTTTATCTTCATTCTTAATTTAAACAACAAAGCAGTGAATATGATCGCCTTAATACCTGAAAGATAAATGTTACAGTATTTTTTAGAAGTGTTATTAATTCGTACCATTGTAAATGTGTCCAACGACAAATCTAAAATTCTTCCAACTGTAATAATCATAGGTTTTTTTGAACGTTCCATTAAAATAATAAGTGTCTTTTGTTCTCGGATACTATACTCGTACCATTTACTCATATAAATGGCATTTGTTAATGTATAATTCTGAAATATATATCATAAAATATATTAAGTGTTTTTAGAAATTAAAAATTACCTCTTCTATCAACATTGTGCCGTAGTAACAATAAAAAAATATTTGAAATAGTATGACCCAAAAATAATTTACAGTTATAACAAAATTTACGTCAATCTCTTTCATCTAAAATTTTTCATTACGAAATTTTTTTGAGAGTTTAGGTAAAGACGTACTTTAACAATTTGTAGACAACACAAACCGATTACAAAAACGCTTCCCAATAACTGGCTAAAGACAACTTGTGAAAAAGAGTTTTTAAATAAGTTAACAAAACTGAAAATTTACAGATTAACAACTTTAAACAACTTTGATTTTACATTTTATGTACGTTACTATTTGTTGATACCGATGAACACAACCAATAATTTCTTCATAAAATACATCATGCACCTTTTTACCAGTATTACTCTGAACTGTATTTTTTTCCTCCGCATACTCATCAAGATATTGCAAATTTCTTTTGAGAAGTTGAAGTTGAGCAGCGGCATGACAGGCCAATCCCCCAATCATCGGATCGATCACTCCACAAGCCAAGGTAGCATAACCAATGGCTACAAATCTACTCACAACCTAGTGACAAAAATTGACACCTACCCAAAAGAAGAGCACAATAAATGCAGTAATAAAATAAAGGTTTTTCTTCATTGGTAAAAGGTAACCACAATTTCAGTGGCAACTTCTCAGGCTCTTCTCTTAGAAGAACTTGTGCAACAAAACCCAAATAACTTACACAACAACCGATCAAAAATACATTTGTATTGCGACGACAGCTACCAACACAATCTTCAATGATTTTTTCTTCACTTTTGACCCGGTACTTGAAAGTATCGAAATAATTGATGCAATTTTGGATTTTGGTAATACTTGTAAGAAAAGGCATTATCTTAAAAAAGTAAACAATAATTCCAACGGTCACAAAATCACTAAAATCGATAGAGGTGACGTCTTCTATGAAGAAAAAATTAGGCAGTCCGAGTACTAAGACAGGCACAAATACTGCAAGAAATAAGAAAATTGAATATATACTGTATAGAATTGAGTGGTTTTTTGGAGGATAAAGGCCGATTAAAGTCAATACTTTCACATGAAGTTTGAAACTGTGATTAACAATCTGTTTTGTTTCGAGCATTGTGAGAACGACTTCTACTTCGTGGTCATGTGTTTTAACTCATGTTTTTCCAATATATAAGTTCTCCTTTTTTGAATTTTTTAAAGCATAAACCAACCTTTTAATTACATAAATGTTTCATCAAAGATATTACAAAGACAAGAAAGAAAATTGAGAGTTCGCAAACTACTTAAAACTCATTTAAAGAAGTAGATAATAATTACAAATGAACTTGATGAAAATTTTATTTTAAACTTTCTTGTTTGTATACTAAATTTCCATAGATACATTAATTTACCTCTTAAGGTTTTAATTTCTTCTTTTAATTCTTTGAGTTATTATGCAAATATCTACAGTGGAAAAATATTTTAAAATCAATTCTTTTATTTAAAAAGAAAAACATGTATTAAAATCATTATCATTATTATTACTGGCATGTTGTGGGTAAGTAATTTTTTACCAGAAAAAGTTAATATTAACATAAATACATTACATTATATAAAAAAAAATAAGGTTTTTGCGTCACAAGATAAAAAAGAAAAAACACACCTTATTATACTAAATAATTTATTTATTTCAAACTTAACTACTTATAATATCTAATTTTCATCAGGTTCGATTACAAATATAAACAAACAACAATAACAAAAAAAATTACACATAGGTAGGGACAACTTTCTTAGACATCAAAACCAATGAGTACTAAGTCCAAAATTATCTCTACAGTTACAGACAAAACAACTTTGTTAAATGTCATGTTAAAAGTAAATGCTTAAGCACAAAGTTTTTACTCCATGCCTGAAAGACAAAACTTTTACTTGTGTCAGTTAGTCATAAAAGGGTCATTTATCTGAGGTTTGCGGATAAAATAAATTACTTTCATTCACAACGTGAATTTTTGTTTTGTACAGGTTGATTCAAAAGTTTTGGATCATCTCTTAGGTGGTAATAAAGAACATCCAACTGAGTTACAAGTTCCCATGATAAAAAATTGTTTGAGTTTTTTTCACGAGATATACTTAGTTCTTGTTAGGTTAAATCTTTGGGTTAAGTTTTTGGGCGTTCAGATCACGTATTCTTGAATTTGGTTAGCAGAAACGGTAAATCTTGTGGCATATGCATAACAGATACCTATTAAAAAAATCATAAATTTGTGTTTTATGGTGTATAAAATATTTAACAAATTATCAAATTCAACAACAAATTAATCTGACAATATCGAAAACAAAAGAGCTAAGGTGTCAGTTTTGTTTTTTTCTCAGAAACCAAAACTTGACATGAAATCTGCATTGAATTTTTTTTTATCACCATTCAGGAGGTGGTCCGACACTTTTGAATCATTCTGTATAGTGTATTAGTTTTCTTCTATCTTCCTTAGATTTCAACCTCAAGACCGTAAAAACCCTAAGTGCTTTCATTTCCTTAATGTTGAGCTCATACCAGTTAAAGTTTGTCTATAAATGCTTGAATTTTATGGTGAAGTAGAGGCAATTCAGTTTTTAGGTCTTTGTGTCACAATTGTGAAGGTTTGTTTTCTTGGAGGTTGATGCTTGAAGGGTCCGCTGATCGGTAACATTGGTAACAACCATTCTCATTAAATCTCTCAAACTAGTTTGGGAAGTCAAATGTATAAAATTCTAATAAGAATAGACATCTAAACGGCAGTGATCAGAGTATAATTCTATAATAAGAAAAATATTTACTGAGCTTTTTTAAAGAATATGACCCGCAGATAATTTACTGAAATAAAAAGATTTAAATCAATTTTAATCATTTAAAAAATATCCTACGATATATTGGTGACTCAATTGTCCTAATTACTCTGATTACTTGTAAGCCACACAACCCAATCAAGAAAACACGACCGACAAGTTGGTTACAAAAGACATGGGAAAAAGAGTCTTTAACTAACTCATCGACATAACTGAAAATTTACAAATGTTAAACTGGAAAAAAACTTGATGTGTCACTCACGTTGCAATTTTTTGATAACGAAAATCACATTTAATTATTTCTTCATAAGTAACATTACAACTTGTTGAACTTTTGTCTTTGTATTTTTCATTAATATATTCGTCAATATATTGTAAATTTCTTTTGAGAATTTGAAGTTGAGCAGTTGCGTGATAAATCAGTCCTCCAATCATAGAGTCAATTGTGCCACAAGCAAAATCTGAATAACCTGCCCATAAAAATTAGTTAACCACAATCTGCAATAAAAAAACTTACCAAAAATAAGAAGCCAATAAATAAAATAATACAGCATGGGTTTGTCATGACTGCTAACCCAAAACCACATTTTTAATGGAATCTCTTCAGGATCTTTACGAAGTACAACTTGTGTAACAAAACCCATCCACCTTACCGAACATTCATTAAAAAAAATATTTGTATTGCGACAACTCCCAACACAATCTTCAAAAAATTTTACATCATTACTTAAAATGATATTGATGGTGTCAAAATAATTAACGCAATTCTGGATTTTAGAGGTTTTTATAAGGAACGGCATTAACGTGAAGCCTTCCATAATAAATTCACTAGCTGCGAAATCTTCCGTGAAGAGAAAATGAAGCGAGTTTAGCACCACTGTGGGCATAAATGCAGCAACGTACATGATAACTAAATATATTTTATACACGATTGAGTGAATTTTTCGAGAATAAAGCCCTTTTAAATTTAACACAGTGATATTTAGTTTGAAATGCTGCAGATGTTGTTTCGTTGCAAACATTGTAAGAAGTAAAAATTGATCAAGGCTTCACTGTTTATCTACCTACTTTTTATCTAATTAAAAATTATCCCTATCAATTATGATGCCTGCATTAATCTTACATCAAAGAATTTTTGAAATATAAAAAAGAATTTGAATTGTCTTTATGTAAAAGCTGACTTCAATGGGCAGACACTAATAAAAGTTTCATTTTGTATCTGGAGTTTGTATAGTTTTCCCGTTGTTATAAAAGAGTTCAATTTAAACATGCAATCAAAAACTTTAATGAAAGGTATAAGTAGCAGTCGGTTCTTTAGAATGAAAATCTTTAGTAAATTTATAATAAACGATTGAGCTGTTCTGTGTTTAAAAAATAATTCAATGTATAAAAGCTCACATCTTATTCGCAGAAAAATAACAAAGTTTGTAAATATAGTTATTTTATTTGCAATATTTTTTTTACCGCCTTCTTAATGATCTATCAATATACCGCCTGGGAATTTCGCAAAAAATGCATTTGAGCAGTGACTCCGAGTTTTACATAAGTTAGGGGGATTGTTAAAGAAAAACTGAATGATTTTTAATTATTAATGAAAAATAACGCAACTAATAAAATCTGGGACGGAAGAAGACAACAAAACAATATACGCAAGGGAGAATTGTTATTATGAAGTTAAACATTTTGAGCTGAAAAGCTGAATTAGTCAAAAAAAAATTCAAGATTAATCCGCCAAATCAAATGCCCAGGCGAGAAAAGGATTAATTCTATCGAGACGGCGATGATTTTTTAAATCACTTCAATGCAGTGATTGTGACAGAAATCATTTGACAATTTAACTGAGTATTGTTGTCAAAAGTCTTCCAAATAAATAGGATACTAAGTTGTTTTTCAAAAGAAGTTATTTAAAAGTCCAAACATGCTAAATACGTTTATACCATTATGAGTATTTTTTAAAATTTATACGCAAATGACTAACTGCAGCATTAAAACGTGATAAAACTAATGCGAATTCAAAATTATTCAAAAGCAATTTTTTGCTTACAAGTTTTACAACAAATACCTATTGTATCGTAAACATAGAACATGGAAAAACTTAAATTTCGTTTAATCGATCTTTTTCCCCAACTTGCAGCTGCATTTATTGGTAAATTTAACTCTTTTTCAGCAAAAATAATTCAAAATAAAGCCACTTTAAGCTCAATTTCGGATGGAATGCACTATGCTTGGTCAGCTCCTCTTCTTCCTCTTCTCCGTGCCGAAACAAGCCCCGTAAAAATCACAAAAATTGACGAGATTTGGTTAGAAGGATCTTATTTGGTTTCTGGTTTAGGAGGACTCCCAATAACTATTTCCCTAGTTGACAAAATTGGACGAAAAAATGCAATTTTAGCTGCGTCAGCCACAAATTTGTTTTCGTGGATTTTAATTGGTTCATCCAGACATGTTGCACAGTTGTATTGTGGAAGAATTTTGGCTGGTGTGTCTGGAGATATGACTTATGTAGCAATCCCGATGTATCTCTCAGAAATTTCAAATGAAAAGTATCGTGGATTTTTGACATGTTTTAATTTTAACATGGTTCTACTTGGGACTTTGTTGATTTCAGTCATTGCTCCTTTTACACCATACTATGTTCCCTCATTGGTTGGTGTAATTTTATTAAGCACTCAGTTATTTATCTCTCCACTGATGCCAGAATCACCGTACTTTCTTCTGAGTAAAAATAGAAGCGACGAAGCTAAAATAGCTCTAGAAAAACTTCGAGAAAATCATGCCAACATCGACGATGAATTTAATGAAATCGCAAGAGCAGTTCAAAGGCAAAACACGCAAAAAGGAAAATGTACAGATTTACTTCTAGTCAGAAGTAACAGAAAAGCTGTCACAATTATAACAATCCTAATCCTCTGCCAATTCTTCATCGGCTTCAGTGCTATTATTATGAATGTTCACACAATTTTAGAAGAAGCTGATTCGTCAAACGTGATCAATGTCGAAAGATACGGAATCATATTTTACTCACTTATGGTCCTTTCTGCTACTTTCTGTTGCCTAACTGTTGATAAGTTTGGCAGAAAAATACTTCTGATTGTATCAAGTGTTCTCTCCGGAGTTTGTTTACTAATTATGGGAATTTATTTTAATTTACAAAAATTTGAAGTTGATGTGAAAGATGTGGCCTGGATTCCGGCTTATTCATTAATGGGATATGCAATTACGTATAAAATTGGAATGGGGTTTCTACCACAAGTAATTGTTTCTGAATTGTTTCCAAATAATGTTAAAGCATTCGGTATGACTTACGGAGATTTCTTGTTAATTGTTTTTAGTTTTGTTTCCCTCATTTTTTATCAATATCTTAATTACTTTTACGGACATTATGTTCCTCTTTATACTTTTACTGTGGTTGCTTTCCTCGGAGCAATTTTTACGTTTTATTACGTGCCAGAGACTAAAGGCAAAACACTGGATCAAATACAAATAATGCTTCACGAAATGTAAAACATATATAGGAGTATTATTTTATGTACCTACATATTAGCTTTGTAAATTTTAGATAGATTAAGTTAATACTAATTCCATATACCTTTATTTTATTTTAGTGTGACAAGTCAAGAGTAAATTAATAGAATTTTTTTTGTTTGCAGAAAAATATTTATTTGCGGATTTTACTAATGTACTACTTATTACAAGCTTGTAACATAAAAATATTGTGGCTTTTAGAATACAGATATTGTAGTTATTTGTGTGATATCCTTTTTTTATTTTTAGATATGAGTAACGAAAATCTTTTAATAATTCTTCAATACTGCCAATAAAGAATATGATCGTTTGAGTATCTAAAAATTACGAAATTAAACTTTAAATTTTATTTAAATTTGTGGCCTTACCAAAGTGAATGTCTCTAGGGATACACCAACAACCCTTCCTGCAGTAATTAGTAAAGGTTTCTTTGAACATTCCATTAAAATAAGAAGAGCTTTTTGAGATTCTTTCGTATATTCATACCACCGGCTCATATAAATTGCGGTAATGAGAGAGTTATTCTGAAAAAAAAAATTATCATTTTATCTTCACTGTTTTAAAATATAACTTCTTCGACAAGTAGTGTGCCGTAGTAGCAATAGAAATAAACTTGAATTAGCAAAATGACCAAATAATTGCCCGTTATTATCAAATTAATATAGTCATCTTTTAACTAAAACATAAAAACAAATTATTTTTCAAAAAAAAAGTATACGAAACACATCACTTTACTAATTTGAAGACAACAAATCCCAATCACAATAGCACTTTCCAGAAATTGACAAAGTATAACAGTTGAAAAACTTTTTTCATATTTAAAAATGAAACTAAAATTTAAATATTATTTTAAAACAAATATTTAAAAAACTTTTTACTTTGTAATTGCTTCATAGTTGTCAATACACTTTTTGATTTTTTCATATATTAAATCGGATTTCCCTCTGCTTTCGTCGATATAATCATCCAAATGTTGCAAATTATCTTTTAAAATTTGGACTTGTCCAAAAGCGTGACAAATTAATCCTACAATTAAAGGATCAACTGCTCCTGATGCAAATACTAGATAAGCGGCTCCTATAAATCGTTCCTGCTTCAATAAAATTAAAATAATTAGATATACCGAAATAATAGCTGAAGTAAAGAACATAGTGAAGCAAAGGATAATCTTGTGAATTGAAAGGGAGCCATGTAAGTAATGGTAATTGTTTCATATCCCCTTGATATATCAATGTAGCAGTCCAACTTATAAAACACGTAGCGCATCCCCCAAGAAAGAATATTGAATTTCTTCGGCAAATTTGTACACATTCCGTTATAATTTTTTCTTGATTTTGATTTCTTATAATGAAGTAACCTTCATCTAGATATATGATGCATTTTTTAATATTTTCAGCGGCAATCACCAGGGAGAATAATTTAGGAGAAAGAAAGACAACAACAACAACTGAAAATAAATCTTTGTAGCCAACATCTGTGATACCTCCTTTAAAAAAAAGATGAATAAATCCAAATATTGATCCCGGAATCATGGAAAAAATGTATAAAAAATAACCAAACACTTTGTAAAGCCGTGGATAATTTTCCAAAGGATATGTTCCCATTAATTTCATTACAGTTAAATTGAGTGTAAAACTATTTCGAACGATGCCTTTCATTTTTAAAAACTAAATTGTTCAACTAATTTCTTTTTATTATATACCTTCTCCCTTTTTTGAATTTTTTAAACATAAATCATCCCTCTAATTACATTAATTTTACATCAAAGACATTATGACATGAACAAAAAAGGAAAAGCATTTACAAACTACTTAAAACTAATTTAAAAATGTAACTTCAAATGAACTTTGATAAAAATTTCATTATAAGTTTTTTGTTTGTATGAGAAATTTCCATGGACACAAAGAGTTACTCTAATGAAGCTCTTTTAACAGAACACTTTCAGTTATTAGGTAAGTGTAACAAAAATGAAAAAACATGCATCAAATTTTCAAGCTTTGAAGAAAGGTTTTTAAAAACTGTAAAATAACAAATAAAGAAATCTTAAGAAAAACTTTATGGTAAGTTAAAGTATTTTTTTAAGTATTTTTTTTAAAGTTTCTATAAAATCTTTCAAAGCATAAATTTTATATTCTTTTGCTGCTTTGCAAATATTATTACTTGAAACTAGAAAGCAATGTATATTATTTGTTTTTATTTCTGTTCTATTTTAATGAGCCATGGCTTGCAGCGAATTTTCTTTTAATGAATATTATCGTTAACACCTTGCTACTTTCCCACAGTAATAATAGTTAAACTATTACGTTTTAATTATGTTATACTCACTCTTTTGTCTCAATAGTATGAGTTATACGAGGGGCACTAGAAAAGTAATTTACCTAGCAATGAAACAAAAGGCGTACAATTTTTTTGATAATTTTATTTTTCAATATAATTCCCCCTACATCAAAACTCTTGCGCCATTTCTCCACCAGTAAAAGATTACTTTCATAAAAAATGTTTTCTCTTGACTCCCAAAAATTCGTCGTGGCTACTTTTAGGTAACCAAATCCGGACTATAGGGAGAATGGTCTGCCTTAAAATTGGCTTAATTTTGGCAGCCTTATGCACAGTCGCGTTGTCATGCAACACAAACACTTCTCAATTAGGAAAAATAAGTCTTTTTCTGGTAAATTGTTTTTCGTAAATTTTCAACGTGTTTGCATAGATCTCCGCATTTATTGTTGTCTTTTTTGGCATACATTCAATGAGAAGGATGCCCCTGATGTCCCGAAAAAACACTTTTACTTCGGGAATCGTCTTCGACGGATACTCGTTCTCATCATAACTGCTTCGGGTAAAATTTTATTGTGTAATATGATGGTGTACCATCCTTATAAACGGCATTTATTCTCTCACGGATTGTTTTCGCTTAATGGTCCTCTTTTGTCAAAAATTTTATGGTACTGCTTTACTCCAAATTTTGAGTACTTATTTTTCATCACAATTCCCTTTATAAATTAGAAACTAATTATCGCAATTAACTCAAATTTTGCAGGTAATGATACATGGCACTATTTGAATAAATTATGCTTGTGCGTTTCAATTGTTTTTTTTTTTCATGGCTAGGTAGATTACTTTTCTAGTGCCCCTCGTATACGTACATACATAATATATATTTTTTTTTAATTTTGAAAATTGCAGAAATAATTCTTTTCATATGAACAATTAAACTAGCTAGTTTTATCTTTCTCTGTTTTACTTGCTGTATACTATGTATATTATAGGTATTCCGCTGGCAAAGTAAAATTTTAAATTTATTTTTGCAAACATGCAATCTTTTGTTATATAATTCTTTTTTGTGTCATTAATAAAAATAACCGCAAAATAAATAAGAAAGAAAACATTTTTATTGTTTAACTTAACTTTAAGATGACAAAAGATGATATGTATTTTTTTTATAGTAGACATTACAGACTAGTCTACCCACAATTTATTTCAAAAATATGTAATTTTGATAATATACTAATTTTTTGTTTTTTATTTTTTATCGTTCCTGAAAATATTCAGTCATTTACATTATGTTTGTCTACATTTATAATATGTATTAATATGTATTACTTATTAGACAGTGATATTGATAAATGTTATAAACTTACCAAGATATTTCGTCTATTTACAGCTATTCTAGCATTTGACAGTTACATTAAACTTATATATTATATTAATTTTTTTGTTCTAAACTTTATAACCATAGGTATGTATGTAGATAAACATAAACATAGCGTTCTCCAATTTGAAAACTAAGAAAAAAAAATTTAGCTAAAATTTGTAATTAAATGCAATTTATTATTGTTATTATTTTAGTTTTAAACAAACTTTTTTTTAAATAACAATATATACTTTTAAAAGTTATAAAAAAATAATTCTGGGATTTTACATTTGCTAGTAATTATCCACAGGTTTAAATAAACTGGGTCAGACGTTTTCCTAAAGTTTGGAAATAAAATATCAACAAAACAGTACACAACTTTATTAATACAGGTTAAAATTTCCGATATTTTTTTCCTAATAATTTAACAGCTTGCACGTTTGCGATACAAGCCAAGCATTGTAGTGGGATTTCGAATCAAATGTTTTACATAATCTCTCATAAACATAAGTCATGCTTAAATGAAAAATCGTATAAGATAATATCCTACAACGACGGCAATACATAATGTTATTTAATTCAATTTGACTAGCTTCACGTTCACAATAATACTCAACTAAACCTATTTAAAACAATAAATATAATAAAGTAAAAAATCTTGGTATAAATTAGGTAAGTACTAGCACTAGACACCGGACTCGATCTAATATGAACTCGCCTACCGTTAAGTTCCTGCAAAGACCGATAATTCTGTAAAATATTCCCTTCATGATCCGTCTTCAACATCGGGAAAGACTTGACCTAAAAGTGTGTATTATTTATGATTATGACTTACAAATCCCTGATAAATCTCACTTGACTATTAGAGATAGGTAAAGTATTAGTAAACACTGTCCAAATAATCCCTTCCGTACAATCCGGTGTCGTAAGTGAGCCATTATAACGATAATACCCTGCCCGGTCCCGAGGTAAGTAATCATCAACTCTGACGTGCATCTCTTGTATGGAATTTATCTTATCTTGCAATTTATCGATGACATTAATTAAAGGCTGAAATTGTACATCATCATCCGGTGACAACTAAAACACATCGTTGTCAATAAAAACCCATTACATAATTGTATAACACACGTAAAACAGGACAGAAAACACCGCCACTCCGCCGCTATATTGCAAAGCTTGAGACAGATTTGCGTACTTATTTGCATAGTGAACCAAGTGTAGCTCTAGCGGAAATCTACAACATCGATCGAAAAACTTATTTTTGTTAAGTAAATAAATGACTCTACCTTCGCCCGTCCATGGTATGTTCCGACTCCCAATGAAAGTGCAAATGGTCCAAACGGTAAATGTCCGGCAAACCACCACCTCTTATGGTGGGCTGATTTTGCACGTGCAGACGTATTTCGACTAAAAAATGTCATATAAATTCAGATTTCAAAACTAATAAAACTAATTACCAGAATGCCCGTTATTTTTCGATTGTACAGGATAAGTAGTGTCATATTCTTCAAAAATCAGAGAAGAAAAATCCTGTTCTTCGGCTATATCCCGAGACAGGGCGATCGGAGACTGCTTTCGTCCCTCTTTGCAAGCAATTGGCCAATGGTCTAAAAAATATTTTTTTAATACTTGAAGCTTCGCTTCATTAAGGTTAAGATGTATCAGATAGATCAATATTTAATTACTTAAAGCCACACCTCTAGACGATTTGTAATTGAGAGCAAGTCAATTTATAGAATATTTTACGTTTCAAATAAAAAAATAATTGATTCACTTGTATAAATACTCGTAAATGAAACCAGTTAGAGATAGACTAATTGAAGTTAATAGTTTTATTTCTTTATCTTTACTTTAATCCACTTAATGAAAAATTAATTTGAAAATAAAATTTTACGTCATACGACTTGCTATTTCTTAAAACATAATAAAAATATCACGATTTCAGAGCTATTGGACCGATTATTCGCTTTAACTAAACATATCCTCATTGACGGTACACTAGGGGACTTACCAATTCTGATATTATGAAAATATTTCAAACTGTAATAAAAGATAACAACAAATTTTTCTCGATTACATTTATCAAACAGAAAAACAGTTTCTACTATTTCTAGAAAAGATCATTTATCACGAGTTTGTTCCGTGATTTTCCGTATTACTTTTCTGATCTAAATTTTAATCACCTGTAACCACTTTGTGTAACACCTAAGTCTACGTAAGTCAAAATTAACACCTTCAATTTTCAATGTCTTTGACGTTTTGTCAACATCGAAAATCGCAAGTTTGTAATAATTACTTTACCTTCATGAATGTAATCCCATTTGTCTGAAGATACAAGACCTGTAAAAAATAGTTAAATGTAATTCATGGTCAATAAAAGAGGTTAAAAAATATTATTGTTTGCATATTTTGCACGCTTATTTTTTATTTTGTGTTGTGTAAGCTAAATTCGTTAAATGCCAAATCAACTAAAATTTTTCCAATTTTTTAATGTTCTTTAATCGGTGTCAATGTTGAGTTTCATCGGAAGCGACCTTTAGAAAAGAAGTGCATATCGTATATCTTGTTGAGTGTCATTGCAGCTGTCACTCATTGCATTGAAGAAAAATCATTAAAAAACACTTTTGATAACTGATAAAAGTGATAACGATAGAAATTATTTCAATCTAGTTTTTCTAAAAGAATTAAATTAAATAACTGACCTGTGTGAAGAAGAGTGAGTACTAATACTAAGAGCAGTGACACAATAACATTCATATTAAACAATGTGAGTACAACTAGAATGGTGAGCTACGACTATGATAGTCGATGCCGGTGACTGCTTCCTTATAGTCTCCGATGCACTACTACTAGACTATTAGGAAATTGCCCTTCGATGGGCGTTGGACGGTGATTTTTAGATTATTTTCCGCACCCACCACCAGTACATACACATTATGATTAAATTATAACCGAATCAAATGATTTATCGGTTTTTTGCAATACGTACGTACTCATTTTCATACTTCCTTAGATTAAAACCGCGTCAATACAATGAAAATTATAATTTTATTAAAAAACTGATTCGAATTAAATTGGGTTGAGCTGGGTAACTGCTGATGTAAACTGGGACTTATTAGATGAGTGATGTTAATAATTGAAAGTATTGAGACAGTCACGTTGTTTTTCTTAATTAAAAACATTAATTTAATTAATTTTTAATTAGTTCATGTAAGTAAGTAACTAAAATTCCACTTAACCTTGAGTGAGTACATCAGCAGAAGAAAAAATGAAAGGAGTCAGTTGTTACAATAATTTGTCTTCGCTCTTTCCGCATGAATAGATAAAGTAAACAATTTTTTACAATTATTACTAGCATGTAAAATTTTTATTTACAACTTTAAGATAAGTCACAATCGAATGAAAAAACTTGTTTTCTGCTCATTTACTTATTACTCACAATTAATAGTGCATAATAAATTTCGTAATCTTGTCAGCTGAACTTGAACAGCATAAAATTTTCGTTGTGTTTTTATAAAAATTTTTGTAAATTACAAAACAAGGCTAGCACTGGTAGTTTTTAACTCATAAATGTTGGTATGTACCTATTGGACCATATCTTCTTAATGCAAAGTAATTTGCTTAACAATATATTAAACAATTGAATTGTTTAGGTTAAGGACAAACTAAATAAAAATTTAAAAATGTGCATAATTTTCTTACGCTGATTACTGATAACAATTAAATAAAAATTAAACGTGATTTAGTTTGCATAAATTAGTATAGGAAAAGAGATTTACTTTTTACTTCCGAAATGATGTTCTTTTTGCCTTCAATTCAAAGATAATATAAAGGTCAACAAAACTTTACTAAACTGATCCGGAAAAACCTGAAGACATGCGGTAAAGAGATGAACCGCATATACGAGAATAGAATAGACTATTTTTGTACAAACTTTGTTTAGTTTTTCAAAAATAGAGAAAGAAATGCCATCAAATATTGACTTTGCGGCTTCATTCAGGACCGGCCATTTAAGCAAAGGCCGATTTGAATTTAACGTCACAAAAGGTCAAACAATCTGCATCAGAATCGATAGACTTCCGCTAAGACTTAATTTATTAAAAAGTTTTAAAAAATAAACACTAGATTAAAAACCTTGTTTTATTTTTCACCTCTCTCCTTTGTCTCATTATTTATAATTATTATTTAGTAAGTATTTAAAGTAAAATAAAAATGTTTGATAGATAGGCCACCAAGAAAACACCAACACAACTAAAGGAAACTGTAAGTTGCTTCGAACAAAAACCAAAAGAGGGCAATAATATCAATTTAGCACCCACATGCTGCAATAATACAGAGTGGTTATAAATGATTTTCATCTAACCAGCTTTGGAATTTTTTTGCATGTAACTTTATTTGTGCCGCTCAACTTTTTTGAAAGCTCTAGTTCTGTCATTAGTGCCACTTATTCATTAATAATAAATTGTGGTTAATTAAACTTTTATTGTTTTAACTTATTACCAATAAGAATTGATAATAATGTATACTTTGGAAGAAAACAAGTTTATAATTGAAGTCTATTTTCGAAGTGGACGCTTAGTAAAAGGCAATTTTTTAATTTCGAGTTGAAACAAGTAGGTACCCCTATTTTCGTAAAGTGGCATTTTTTATTTTACATGGAAAATTCACAGCTGGCTAGATGAAAATCATTTATAACCACTCTGTATGTTTTACCATTATGTATTTGCTTTTAAAAATTATTATTTACAAACGAATAAACTACTAAAATATTTGAAACAAATATTAAAACAATATGTATTTCCATTTCTTTTATTGGAGTGAGGCGATATTTATTAACACCTTTATTTCCTAGCGTGCTTTTTCAAAGTTAAATATTGGTTGATTTAATATTTGGGGTTGACAACATTACTTTCATTAATATTCATACTTTCATTGGAGACAATGAATTCTAAACTAGAATTTTTATAACAGGTAAGTAAGTATACCTATCTAAATTTTTCGTCTCTCAGCGATGAATCAACTAAAACAGTAAATTTAAAAATATCATCCATGATCTATTAATAATTTGAAATGTTGGAATAAAGTGCAATATTAACATTGGTCCTATTATTAGCCTTGAATCAGTTCGTTCATTCATGAATCGATATTGATTTGATCATTCCACTTCCTTTGTACGGTCACTCATCACGAGATCTCTATTCCAAGATTGTCTATAAATATTTTTTTGTCGACAGTCCCATTAAATTTAACAAAATAAACTTTGGCGTCCCTTTTATGCGAGAGCAATAAAAGGCTGACAAGCAGCGACCGAAAGCTTTCACTTGGAAAGATTGTCCCCAAATAACTTGTATTAGATTTATAGCTCTTGTGCCTTTAATTCGAGTGTGAGTTTAACTGGAAAAACAACGAAAATTCTGACGGAAGTTGTGTAAACAGTAAGCCGGAAAACACGCCCAGATTTTGCCTTCATCACCAGGTGTTTGACTTTTCAGGAATATTACAAGTTTAAAATTCCATTGCATAGATGATCATAACCACATGGCCCAAAAACATTCCATGTATTTTATGACGTTCAATTTATGATCTTAAAAACAGTTCATAATTTTCTGCGACTTTTGGAAAAGACTGGAGTTAATTTCGGGAAAGTACCACCTAATTGAAGAACATTTCAAATAGAAAAGAAAATAAGCAAATGAAAAGATCAAAGGAAGAGTAGCCACTAAGTGTCTAGTCTTATTTCATTGCTTTATTTTGAAAATTGCTACAAGCGTTATGATGCCAGACAACAATAAAGTGTAATATTTGTCATTCTTCCAAATAAAAATTGATGGAAACAAATGTATGTTTCTGAGAAATGAGTAAAAAATATTTATAGGTTCGAATCATAACATTCTTTTCATTTTTAGAGTAAATCAAACCTTCTCAAACATGTGGTCATCTATAAACATTACATCAATATTAAATGTGTTATAAACATAAATCTTCTTTCCTTTGATATAAAAGAGTCATTTCAAAATTGACTAATCTAATTATAGACGAAATCAGTTAACGAACCAATAATTGCTTATTATCTTTAACAGTGGATTATGCAATTTGAAGATTCGACTTCAAAGAAATGGCCACAACAGAAGTCTAGAAAAATGTGACTAATAAAAGGACATTCTTGGACTTGTGTTTGATTTGTAAACAAATTGTAAAACAGTTGTTTATTTACCTTTTTAGTGACCAGACTCTTAAGAGGTGTCAAAGTGGAAATAGGAAACCGCTTAAGACACGCAGTCGACAATCAAAACATCTTCTGCAAATACTGGCCCAAGACGTTCACACGCCCTGACATGGAATCCAGCTTTTATTTACTATTAGAAATTTACCGAAAATACCCAGCTTTATAAAAAGTTTTCAAAAAACATCAGTAATGATGAAAGCTAATGTCTACATCAAGACCAGACACTTTATATTTTTCATTCCGTTACTCAAACCTCGTTGGAAAGTGTCCAAATGATGCAAATTAAGAATTATCAAAAAATTATGAAAATCTGTTTTGGCGAAAACAAAGTCACGATAAGTCTTTCAAACCTCTAGTCGTTGCTAAAGAAGACATCTGTAACAACACAGCAAGACCACTTCTTGCTCTAAGTGTTTCCAAATGTTGACTGTTCAAACTGAATTTTTGACCACCTAATTTCGGTGCTACTGAACAGTCAGATAAAATTAAATTAATACAATTTATTATGATTAAAATAGTTGATTTTGCAAAAACCACCATACTGGATCGAAGCCAGTTTAATATCTCTTAAATTTATGAAGTTGTATGTTAATAAGTGTACTACTGACAGCTATATTCAAGTGATGTATGTTAAACTTATCAGATAATGTTACTTGGTGTAAAATATCAAAGTCGGTAACCCGAAAAAGCTTCTACAATGTATCAAATGGAAATGTAAAGTGTCAATATTGTTTAATAAATTAATACTATTAGATTATTAATGTGTCTTAACGTTGTTTGAAGTTAATTTAAATGTGCTTTACTATGCCTTTTTACATAAATTTTAAATATTAATGTCGGAAAAGTAGACACCATAAATTTTTAAGTTTATCCATTAGTTCCCAAAGTTGTTGCCAAATAATTACTTGGGACGGAAAAACATCTTTGCAAAAATAATCAAATTATCCTGGAAGTCTCGTTTCATTTTAATAATAACTGAAATCGTCAAATAAGCTCGAAGGAGAGAATGTAAGTCAATTTATTATTACTATAATAATATAAAATGTTACACCAAATTGCTACGTAAATTTCCTACTACTAAATACCCATAAATTTTGCATCCGTTCCGCAGGTGAGAGGATACTTCTTTACTTTCAACCGCGTACAAGAAAATTTATTTTATTTCGAAAAAATCTCGCTCCCACTTGTATTACCTCAAGATCTCACCGATAATGCACACATACGACAAGATAAAGACTTTGGCTGGAAGCCGAAAATCAACGAAATTGACCATAATTTTAAACTGTATAATCGCTGCTAATTTTAGGGTGGGACATTAAATTGAACGGAGCGAAAACGTCGGTTCCGCTTGTTGCAGGAGGTGTTTTCTTCTTATTCGGTCATTACGTGTTACTCATCTCCGGATTTTTACGAGCCTGAAATTTGTCTCATGTTTTCAGCCAACCACATGCAGGTGTAGTGAGATTTCTTTAACGATATGAATTTAATTTCGCAATACAAGAACGCATAATAAAATAATTTTCTTCTGAGTTTATTTGTCGTGAAGATATCTGGGAATTTATGGTGCGAGAATTTAAGCTCGATTTGAATCAAAGTCACGGCTTAAATTGCCGTGTCCCCGTAATGGTAATTCAGTCTTTAAGATTCAAATAATAGCATTCAATATTTTTATTTGCATGGAACGGTTTAAAGTGGCTCGATTATGATAATTGAATTAACTGTTGTTGATTTTTTGGAAATTTGGGATATGGGTTGGAAGGCTTCGCGGACTGGTAGTGGAACATCAAGTCTTGTGTTTTACTCTCCGAGCTTACGGAACAGTCGGCGTTTGCTGTCGTGGTGTCCAACATGCTCCCTCTGTTGCTACCAACAGTGATATCTTTAACAGTGCAAGTCCTGTCAGTTAGCGAAGACGAGTTGTTAAGAGTACAGCTCTCCTCCGACGGCTTTTCCAGGAGGCGACGCTAAAATGTAGCCCGAAAGCAGATGCGATTCTAGTGCCAGTAATTTATTGTTTTAATAAACTGTTTAGTTCACCTCCGGGATAAGTGACTGTTTTTCTAGTGATTTTACAATTCTAAACTTTTATTAAATTAATGCAATTTATTGGGTCAATAATCTTTAATGTGCTGATTGATTTATTTTCGTGTTGTGTTGTGAAACTTGTTAAAAAGAGAAAAGATACAGTCTCGCCGATCTTGCACTCTTGCATCTGTGATCTGTCGTTGCTTATTTACACCTGCATCAGGACTCCCTCGAAACGGTAAGTTAAACAAACTTTATTTATTCTCCACTTTCGACTGATTGTAAATATCTTAATTAGATCGCTGCTTGTTTATAAGACCAACTTCTTTTTATAAACTTCATTGAATTTAACTTATTCATCGAAGACACCCAAATACTCCCCCACATTATCCTTAAACTAGATCATTTCAAGTCTAGACTCTTTATCCTCTTCCTCGTGTTACGCAAGTACTATTTACCTTCAACTCCTCCAAAATTAGATTTTGGCAACATTTGGAGAGACGCAAATAAAAAAATTATATATCAAACATAATTGCTTTGATTGATATATTAGAGCCGCTAGGTGTTTACTCGCGTTAATTATTTCGGAAAAGTCAACTAATCCTTACATAATTAGCCCTCGTATTTCAGTCCAAAATTTATTATCTTGTTCGGGAATGAACTTTCTCTCAATGAAACTCTCGGAATTTCAGAAGCACGCATTTTTGATGTTCACAAATATACAAAACGTAGTGATGCACCATCGGTGTCTTTGTGAAGATTTTTGAACCCCGATGTGTTGAAATCATGTTTATTACTTACGTGACATCGTCTATAAAAACGGTGCTTTTAGTTTTAACATTTATTCCTTATTTTCGTGACACGACTGATTAAAATTTAGACGTCTCCTGCGAGTTGAATTTCTTTTCCCGAAAATCGATACGATCAATGACAGTTATGTGAATAAATCTCGTGTTGGTGCGTTTTTGATCACGCGATGGCCGCAAAGATAAATCTCCCTATCCAACGCCAAAATTTCTCAACAGAGTATTTATCCGAGCGAACGAGCCGACAGTTTATGTGTACTTATTGCGTGTAAAATGTTCGTTTTAATCTTTTTCTGCAATCTACGTGCCTGGTTATTGTTAGACTGTCTCCGAAAGTGTTGGACAAAACAAGAATAGAGCAAAGCTCCGGTTTATCGTCTATTTGTGGTGCGTTTCGACCGGACAAATAAAGCAAATGGCACAAACTGTGTAAATCTCTTGTAATATTATTGCGTTTGTTGTCTATTTGAAATTGCTAATGTCAATGCTGTTGAGTGGGGAATGGCGCGAAAGCATTCGGAGTGGTAATAAGCAAGCAATGTTTCAAGTTTCTATTGGACTAGAACTTCCTGGCTAGAAAGTCATAGACAACTCGTTGACGTGATAAATATTGGACAAATTCTTGGGACGAGGAATATGATAGAATAGGCGGAGACATGCACAACAAATATTTTAACAGCCGACGCGACGATGCGAAATCAACACCGACGTCGGCAATATTTATCGCATTACGTATGAATTAACTAAAAGCATTTTATCAAAATTCATTACTTATTAGTAACGTGGGATCGAAATATTTTCTTACCAAACATACTACAATTAGACAACTTTTACATCACACGTTATAAATTCATCGCCAAATTACCCAAATCCGTGAAGTAAACATAAAAATAAACTGTTGACTACGCTCAAAAAAAAAGAAAAATTATTGATATGTTGATTTGCATAAAAGAGGAAGCCGACGAAAGTAAAATAAGTAAATGTATTGGCATTTCATAATACCTTTTTTTACTTTTTTAAACGCTGTGACACAGAAATAAAAAACGTGACATTTTAAAAAGTCGATAACATATTAAATCTAACAATTTATTGATTCTAATAAAACATCAATAAAACTTTATGATCCCCTCTGAAAAAATAGGTAATTGTAATGCAATTAATTAACGTCTCGCCGTTCTCCAATTAGTGTAATTTAATTGATTCCAGACGCGGAAACATAATTTCTTTAAAAGGCGTGAAACGATTAGTTTTGATCTCCAAAAAATATGAATAAGCGCCCAACAGATGTATTTTATTTTAAAATTGAAAATATTGTGAGAAACTTCCTGAAAAAACCCGTATATTTCTTGCCACCCTCTCGATCCCAGACCATATTTAATAAATACAGATTCGGGGTCTTGAAATATTTATGACACGTGGTACGACATAAATATGTGTTAATTACGTTTTAACCCCGAACGAGGCATCGTGTAAAAAATAATTTGTCCTAGATTTGTGACTTTCGCCGCTTAAAAATGTTAGTGTTAAATTCCAGACGATTGAGCGAAAAAAGCTAATCTATCCTTGTAAACAAATTCAAATAAGTGGACATTTAAATTATAAATGTGCGACGTGTTTGACAAGTTGGAAACAAACAGACAGAATTATCAATGATGCCACCTATACGCGAAATAATGGGCATAGTTGAGAGGTACCACCCACCACTATTAGTGCTAACGTGACGAGTTTTTTATTCGATTTAAATAATTTCATGTCCATCGCGGTGTTAGAAATCAGTTCTTGTTTCAGAGTAAATTATTAGGCATTTAAACACATTTTCTTTTGCAAATACAAGGTGAGACAAGCTTATTTATTGCAAGGACGGTATTAAAATGTGTTTTCCCGCATTGTAAATAAAGTCGCGAAGGTTTAAGGATTGACGGACAGCTTATTCGTGGCTGCTTTACTCAATTATAGACTGACAATCGACATTTTTCTTCATTAACACCGACACAACAACATTTATATGCAATTCATCACTCCGTATATGAATTGATTAACGCCTCTCGGAATTTTATTCAAATTGGGAAAAACAACCTGAACTTTTCTGTACCTGTCGATGTGGAAACCGAACAAAACTTGGATTACGTGTTTACAAATTTTTGAACTGTTTGTAACATCGATTCTAATTTAAAAATTTGCATAAATCGTGTTACATGTTTATTGGTTTTTCATGCAGATGCTTTTCTATTTTCTTCTTTGATTTTCTGGTTCACTAGTTGCATGTCAATAATAACAGGTAATAAAATTAGAAAAACTCTTCTAACTCAATTAAAATATTGAATTGATGCAAATGTACCACACAAGATAGAGAACCAATAAAAGTGTTAACAACACAATCGATCTAGTGGTAGGTCTAAGTGATGGAACCAACGTTTATTGTTCACGCTTGTTACTTGTCTGGACACAATAAATTCACTTTGATTTGATTGTGTTATTGTTTGAACCTACGTGGAATAGAGAACACGACTAGGTTCAAATATCGTAGGAAAGTCGTATTTTATATTCTCTATAACTATTTGACTCGTTAAAATCGAATCAGACTTAAGCTATTAAAATTATTTCAAAAGTTTGGTGTTGCAAGAAAATTTTCAACTTCATAAATCTCGAGTTGTATACTTTCAACTGATTAACAGATAACTAGAAGACACCTAATAAATCTCTGAATTATGTTTTATGTATGCATTCTTCCACTTAATTTGACCACCTTGAAGAATCATGATTTACTTCTTGAAAATATGTATAATTTAAACATTATGGTATGCATTTTAAATATATTGCTTGGCTTACGTAATGGTAGAATAGCACAAAATCCGGTAAACTAAGTTGTCACCATAATTGCTATTTGTCTGTATTTGCCGTTTGTTACAACAAAATTTGACAACCATAACCATTCATTAGAATATTTTTACGAGTGAAACATAAAGATAATAGATAATAAATCTTTATTGTTTTACAAGATTTTAAAATTTTAGATATCATTTCAAGTAGAATTGGGGCGGAGTTGTGAACAAAATCGTTCCTAAGTCACATTTTATCACCGAATAGTGTTAATTATGTATACGAAAAGATAACGAAGTTAGTTTTACAGTGTTTACAAATTTATATAGTAAAATAAAATACGGGAAACTAATCAATTAGGCAATGAAAATCAACATAAGTAAGACATATTTGTAATCTTGACATTTTGTAAAACTGTTTATTTAGTAAAATCAATGGGTATTGAAGTAATGTTTAATTAAAAGCTTTTTTCTGTTAATATTTGTTGCTTTGGACGTACCAATTTGCATTTTTTCGATATAATTCAAAGTTCATATTTCCTAATATTTAAATTCAGTCAAAATTCTCTTTTTGATCCAGACTTTTCTTAATTTTCTTTTCATTCAAGTTGAAATTTATAATAGTGTAAGAAACGGCACTTTGATGTTATAGAATTAAGAGATCGTGGTAGTTAATTGCGTCATAATTTATATAAACCATAAATAATGCTAATAAGCTTTCTACTAAAGGAGGCTGACCGCCTTTGGTTATTCTGAATACTTTTTAATATATTTTCAAAAATCTTGGTTGTTGCGAGATATTTCTCACAGCCTAGCCTCGAAAAAATCCTTGCTAAAATATTCTTGTTTGGAATGTTCCCATATGGTAAAAAATTAATAAGATAATCACGGTAGTTGTACATGTACCTGTTGGTATTTTAATGACTGTTAAGTTACAATTAAACATGAATGAAATGTAAAATAAGACAATGAGTGAATTATTGTTCCCGTCCATTGCACTCGGACCCATCTAAATACACACTTTTAGAGGTCATTCTTTTCCAATAATCGCAAAAATTGTCAACTGTTATACATATCTGGCTTTCTCTTGAAAGCTTTTATATCAAAGATCTCATTAATTACTTCCTACGATATATACATTAGCTTAAATCACACCGACCCGAGGATCTACAAGAGCGCAATTATTGACTATACAAATCAAAGAACTTAAACAATTTACTCAGACATTTATAGCCTACGTGCATGCGATTGTATACTTACTTGTTGAAGATTTACTTTGACATGTAGGATATGCTAAATTTAAACCATACTTTACTTTTTGATGACGGAAGAAGCAACACTGTAACATCATAATAAACTTAAATAAATGATAGTCATTTGTTCGGAAGCCTCAAGCATTTAATATGCGAAAGAGTTAAGTCTTGCCCACCTACAGTACAAGTCGATGAAATACTTATTGGCTATTTAAACACAAACACACACTGAATAACAATATTTGTCCTTTATTCAGATCATAACAGAAATATGAGACGTGTTTTCTAGACTCTACCTACTTTTGTCGGCTTATCTTAGAATCCTAAATTTGTGAGACCTCCCAGGTACTTAACTAAAAG